CACTAGATCGCCCTTATCCCCCTTGTTTGTTGATCCCCTCAAAGAACTCTAGTAGATTAGCAAGGCATGATTTCCCTTTACAGAAACCATGTTGACTTTTCCTCAACAAATTATGTTCATCTATATGTCTGATAATTTTATTCTTACTATAATTTCAACTAATTTGACAGTAAATGGATAGATGGAGCAGCTGTGCTGAAGGCTGACAATTTTCATACCAGAATTTGTGTAATGACTGAAGTTATGACAATAGGGAATGAGGTTGAGAAACGTAGCAAAGCTGCGGAAGTTTAGAAAGGTAAACTGCAAAATCTGTCGTCATCTCCAAGTTGGTCTTAGGGCTTGTCTACCTGAACAATTAGACCACAGCAAGCTGAGGTCTGAGTCCACCCCACACTAGCCAGCCGCAATCTAACTATCCTTATGCACCCTGCTGACGTGTTACCAGTTTGTTAAAAGCTGAATCAATGAGGAGTTCTGTGTCACCTTAAAGCCCAACAGATTTATTTGGGCATAAGCTCTCTTGGGCAAACACTTCGTCAGATGCATCCTGCTGAGGCACTGAGTTTGTTACAGTGTTTTAAGTTTCAGAGGGGGAGCATGCATCTGACGAAGTGGATCTTTGCCCATAAATGCTTATGCCCAAATAAATCTGTTGGACTTTAACATGACACAGGACTCCTCATTGTTTTTGCAGATACAGACTAATGAAGCTATCCTACACAAATAATAGCCTGGAATTACAAACTGTCTAAAAGCTAGCTCTGTTTAAAAATTACTGGGGAAGTTCTCTCAGTATAGCTGTTTAAACATAAACATTCATTCCGTTTCATAAAGTTAAAATCAGGTAACAAATATATTTATAAAAATATAGAAAGCAAGTATATTCTCACCATCATACTGCTTTGACAATGGACATGACTGTAGGTTTTTCTATGGTTTGAAAGAGGAAACATGAAATATTTTCCATCTGATTCCTTAAGAGAAAAAAAGTTGCTTATTAGAAAAAATACTCAGAAATGATAAAATTAAAATTAGAAAAAAAATTAATGCTACTTACATTGTAAACTTTATAGGTCCATTTTGAGGATTCAATTTTAATCCAAATCAAAGTTCCTAAAAGTAAATTATATGCTTTATTTTGCTCACTTGTGTGTGACAGGAAAACCTTAATTCTAGTTGTGTGTTATTGCAGGAATTGCTTATGACGTATAAGAGTAATTTTCAGGAGACCTTCACAAAACACAAATATACTACTTTATCAAGCATATTGTATCAACATCTTGTTCATATCTCCAGAAGCTAGGCCTATGAACATTAAAATATGTAACCTAATACTCACGACTGCTAGTCAGAACTATATACAGTACAATGGTTAAAATCAAGTGTCTATACAGCATGCCAAACCAATGGATTCTGTTAAGATGTTATTTTACTTACGAAATGTATGAGTAATGCTGCTACTAAAGTATAAGGTCTCAAATTAAAATAGCCTTAGTATCTAGTGGGCATCAAGTCAGTGTAAGGGCTGAATATAGGCAAGGAAGTGTTAGAAATACAGCAGCCCTTCCAACGTTTTCAATCTCAAAGGAAAGGACCATAATAAGCCCAAATGAAGGCAGACAAATTAGGGGCAGAAAACTAGCTACAAGAAGAAAATATAAGCAGAAAGAAATATGGATGAAAGTGTGACGATGGAACCCCCTCCCTCCATGCTTTATGAAATGGACTTAGGAACACAAATGCATAACACAAAGATGCTTTGGACAAATTGCTTCATGTAACCGTAATGTCTTAATCCGCTGGGTCAGTTTATTGTATTTTGGTGTGTGTATCCTTCTTGAGAGTAAAATTAGACATATGGAGTATGGAATGGTTTATGATTTTAAATGTGTAAATGGAAAGCCATCTAGTGTGATTCCGCTGCTGGGCAATCATATGCAAATAGCTTTTGTCCTTAAGTCTTAGCAGTGGTTGACAGGGACTGGCAAGGTGATTTCCCATGCAAAAAGAGAATCTTTAAAAACAATTGGAAAGTATGAGTATTTGGTCTTTGGCTGGCTGGACACACCCGGAGAAAAGGAACCAAAGATCCCAGGGTGAGGAACAACTCTGGTTTGGAAGGCATAACTGGAAAAGAAACAGTTTTAGGGTGACTTTGTAATGAGTCTGCAACAAGTTTGTACTGAAGTTTCAGTGTAGAGTTAGTTAAGTGTTTTCTGTTATTCTGAGTTTGTAATCTACTTTGCTTTGCCTGTTTTCACTTATTACCACTTAAATCCTACTGCCTGTACTTAATAAAACCACTTTTATTTACTATCAAGCCCAGTGTAAATAACTGTTATCTGGGGGAGCAATCAGTGTGTACATTTCCCCTTTCATGGTTAGAGGAGGCTTACCTGCATAATTCTTTTGGGGTTTTGATCCCATTTGGGGAATGGTATCCCAGGAAGCTGGGCCCTAAACTGCATTTCCTTAGACCTGAAGAGAGTCATTGTCTGTACTGCTTCTCGGGGGGCAGTGATCTCAATTTGGGGCCTTAACTGGGAGAGACTGGCAAAGCTGGCCCAGCAGGACTGGGCGGTCAGAAGCTCCAGAGAGCAGGAAGGCGAGTTGGTCAGAAGCTCCAGAGAGCAGGAAGACGAGTGTCAGTGGCCTTGTCAGCACCAGGAATCACCCCCAAGGGGTCGTCTGTGACCTCACCCCATCACAGAAAGGAGGGGATTAAGAGAAATAGATTTATTAATCACAAAACACAAAGGCTCAAATTAACCCTTACTGTAACTCCACTGTAACTGCCTTAGTGTAACTCCACTGACCTTAATGGCATTACAGCATAAATTTAGCCAAGTGTCAAAAGGAACAAGGAGAAAGGAAAATTCAACTAAAAAAAAAAAGAAGACAAATATACTCCAAATTGCTGAAGGTTAATGAAAACTGAACCTACAAAATGTCTGTAATACCGTTAACAAAATAAATGCAACAATGAATTGTTGGCCCCAAGCCTATTTCAACAAAATTAAGCCTTGGCAATTACTAGTACATGAAAGATCAATGGACCTCGTGGGCCCTTGAGCCATATCTCCTCCTTGTTAACTTCCTAGCAGCCAAAATATGTCAAATAAGGAATTCCTCAGGTGCCCATACTCCACTGACAGAAGGGCCAATTCTTCATTACAGCTTGGGTCCCTTTGCCTAGCTCTGTGTAAGGGAAAGGAGCTGCTGAATTTGCACATCTGGGCATCTAAGAATTCCCTAAGCAGAACAGAATTAGCATAATGGCTTTACAATACATACACACCAACGCCTGCCCCCCACCAGGATGGGGGTGACATGGAAAAGGGACAGAACATTTGAGCTCTAGCTGTTCCTGTAGTTATTGGAAATCAGTCAGCCAAGCCTAAACAGGAACAACTTTTGGTCCTGGCCTAGTCCCCAAAATTTGTGGAATGCAAAAGTGGCATGTTTTTGCTTCACAATGGTCCTCAAACAAGCCTGGTTTATCTAGAAACAAGAATCAGATCACAGTTTGTCATCACACATTCCAAATAGTGCCTGAGTGGCACCTAAGACAGAATGCACTTCAGCAATTCAGTGACAAGATAAATTTAGACAAAATGTGTCCTCAGAGACTGGTCAAAGCAATTAGTAAGAGCTGCAAACCTTTAAGTTCAGTAAATGTTTCAGGATCTTCCTCAAAGAACTTTGCTGGGTACCTCACAAAGTGGTGATTCAATACTAACATTCTCTTCTTTGGATCCTCAGTTATCTAAAAATACCAAACCACGTGTTAAAAATTTGCATAGCATTTTGTGTGATTTGTAAGACTTCACAAGACATTAAGCCAACAATACAGCTTTATTTATAGTAAAAGTTGGAGCTCCAAAAAGGCAGAGTATAATATGGATTCTAGTTTAATATGGATCCAGCTCATAAGCTTCAAATGTTTAAATAACTTCAAAACTCTGCAATTTAAAAAAGAAATCAATCTACCAAAGTAAGATTCCTCCTATTTCCCACAAATATAAGTTCACAACTTGTGAGTATTATGGCCCATCCTCAATGAGTTCTGAAAAATTGTATCTCCAGTAGAGCAATCAACATCCTTAAATGCTATTAAAAGAGTTCAACTGAACAATCTTCAGAGACCAGTGAAGCTCTCTAAGAATGACCCAACTACTCAGCCGTACTCCCAGTTCCTCATTTTGATTGCTTTAAAACAGTGGTCTTCAACCTTTTTAAGCACAAGATCACTTTTTGAATTTAACTCAGTCCAGGATCTACCTCAAACCCAAATACCCCTGCTCCACCCCTTCTTCAAGGCCCTGCCCCTGCTCCACCCCTTCATCGAGACCCGCCCTCCTCACTCTGTGAAGTTGGGGTACAGGAGAGGGGGACAGAGTGACATCAGTGCCCCCCTGCCTCTGTCTCTCCCACCCTGCACAACAAGCAGTAGGCTCCCCACGGCGGCTCTGGGCAGGAGCAGCAGGGCAGTGCAGGGAAGGGCAGTTGAAGTGCCAGCGCCTGATATCCTCCCAGACAAACCAGTCAGGATCACCTGTCAGAGGCTCCAAGATTTACCAGCATTTACTACTGGTTGGTGACTACTGCTTTAAAATTACACAAAGGTTCAGAAATAGGATGAAATATGGTGAAAGGTTCTTCAAATAGTAAGATGCAGTGGCAACATAACATTTAAACAGGTAGGAAAGAAAAATGAGGCACAGGAAAAAGAAGAAATGAATAGGTAGAAAGCAAAGAAAAGTAGTAAGCTCATCAGCTTTTCCCTTAATTACCCCAAGCAAATATTACAAACCTACATAGAGGATTTTTGTTTGGTTAAAATAATTTGCAAAAAGACACTATATGTAAGCAAATTTGTAAACCTTGTCACAGGACAGCTGAGCAGATTTGTTTAGAATCACAAGGTCCTATATCTGTTTAACACACTCTATTACAGTGAGAAAGTCATAGTTTTATCCCAGCTATAAATAACTCAGACTCAGCCAAATCTGTTTAACACGCTTTATTACAGTGAGAAAGTCATGGTTTTATCCCAGCTATAAATAACTCAGACTCAGCCAGCAGCAAAAACTGAACTTAGCCTTCACAGAATTTAAACCACAAGATTCTAGAATGCTAGCCATCAAAAAGCCAGCGGTATTTTTAACATGATTCAGAATTGTCAGATAGTAATATCAAATATTTCTCTCTGACTTATTATACTAGCTAAAATATATTTTTGTTGAGGAAGGATGTGCCTGCCTTTCCTCCCAGCATTTATGGAGCATGCGGCATGCAGGAGATGGAATTACAAACCTGTTTGGTGTTTTCATCAATAAGATCAAAAAATGCCCTAATTGTAGCCAAGATCAATTCTTTGCACCTAGAACAAAATATAAGGAAAAATATATTTTAAAATGCAACAACAACAAAAATGTATTGGATAGATGTTTTCAGAATATTACACTCTGAAGTCAAATGAATTTATAAAGGTGATGAAGATAAGTGATGGAGAAATATGTCATGTAAATTACCTAACTTTGTTCTATTTGCTTACCATACTATGGAGAGGTGGTCTGTTGAGACCCAAGTTCTAGGCACTGCTGAGCTCTGTTGGGAATAGGAGGGAGGAAGACATGTATTAGCTTTCTTGGGATGCAACATTTAACATTAGGAATTTGAACATTTATTTTTCATTTATGTCTGAATACTTAATAAGATGGCTTTATGAAATTATCAGACAAAAGCTTAATTAGCTTTGAGATAAAGCTGGAAAAAATATCACTTCAAGAACACACTATGAATCTTCACAGTTAACTTTCTTTAAGTTAGTTTGCTTTCTTTGAGGGGGGGGGAACCCTTCTCAACTTATTTAAGTGGACTCTGTCCCATGCTATCAACTCTCCATCAGTCATTCATATCTGCATCCACACCAAAGCATGGGGAAAAAGTAAGAGAATCTTGCACTCTTAGCCTGAATATCACCAATTCTGGGCTCTGACAGATCCAGGGTGGAAGAGAAGGGAAACAGTACCAAAAGATACATAACAGAAACAAGAATACATACCCATGCCTCCCACCACCAAAGAATATTTAGCAACCATACATTTCAACCATTTAAACTTTTAGCCTTGGAGCATCACAATTTCTGACCTACTACAGGCAGTCCCCGGGTTACGTACAAGATAGGGACTGTAGGTTTGTTCTTAAGTTGAATCTGCATGTAAGTCGGAACTGGCGTCCAGATTCAGCCGCTGCTGAAACTGACCAGCAGCTGACTACAGGAAGCCCAAGGCAGAGTTGCTCTGCCCCGGGCTTCCTGGAATCAGCCGCTGATCAGTTTCAACAGTGGCTGAATCTGGACACCAGTTCGGACTTACATACAGATTCAACTTAAGAACAAACCTACAGTCCCTATTTTGTACGTAACCCGGGGACTGCCTGTAGTAGGTCAGAAAAAGGCCCCGTTCGTAACTACGGATCCGACATAAGTTGGATCCGCGTAACCCGGGGACTGCCTGTATTTGGAAGTGGCATGGGGGAGGGGGAAGGAAAGAAAGCTGGACTTGTAAAAAGCAAGATTCCATTTAGCATTTCACAGGTTAAAACCAACATTTTAAATTTTAACCAGAACTCAAATGATAGCCATGAGAGATCATGGAGCACAGTTGCAACATGCTATTTAAAAGAAATGCACATTAGTGCCTTTGTGTTTTTCACCACCTGAAAAATATAAAGGTAGAGTCTCATGTACAGCATTTTGTAATAGCTCATCTTTGAGGTGACAAATGAAAAGATAGCTGCTGGGAGGTCTGTACCAAAACAAAAAGGATGCACATTTATTATCAAAAAGAGATGATACTCTTGACTACTGCCACCACCTGGCTATTCAGAATCAGATTTGACCTCAAGTAAATCACTCCATAATTCCAATGGGGTTGATGGAGATAGAAATATAAATCTAGGCATTATCAGCATAGCAATGACACCATGTAACATTCCTGAATATACTGTTGTCAATCCTTGGTACTCCTTGTTCAGCATGGCTATGTCTACACTACAAGGTTTTTGCGTCAGAGTATGCTAATGATGGACTCATTAGCATGAGTTGCGATGTCATTAGCATATTTTCTGCCAATGCTTTTTGCACAAGAAGCAGTGTAGCCGCTTCTGTTTTGTGCAAAAACCCATTTTGCCTCTCGAGAAGCATAAGGATCTTGAGCAAAAGGGTTTTTTTGTACAAAATGGAAGTGAGGCATAAGGATCTGGTGCAAAAAGGGGTTTTTGCACAAAACAGAAGCGGCTACACTGCTTCTTGTGCAAAAAGCATTGGCAGAAAATATGCTAATGACATCACGACTCATGCTAATGAGTCCGTCAATAGCATACTCTGCCGCAAAAACCTTGTAGTGCAGACAAAGCCCATATGTATACGAGATCACCACTATGGAACAGCAAATGAAAAAATATGTATACGAGACCACCACTATGGAACAGCAAATGAAAAAAAACCTTTGCTGAAAATTAGCATTTTCCCATACTAACCCTTTGGTTATTCTCTTAGGCTTGGTCTACACTAGACCAGGCAGGTCAGTTTAAGGTACGCAATTCCAGCTACACAAAATACGTACCTGGAATTGGCTTACCTTAAGCCAAGCCACAGTGGCATCCACACAGCAGGGGGCCAATGGGAGCAAACACTCTTATTGACTTCCCTTACTCCTTGCAGAACAAGGGGTACCTGATGGTGGCCCACTAAATCAAAGACTAGAAGATCAATCTCCGGAGGGCCAATCTTCTCGCAAGTATACACATGCCCTTAGTTCCAAAAAACTGAGTTATCTTATAAAGCAGTTTAAAGAAAAATAAAATTCCCTGTTATTACTAGTGATGCAAGTTACTTTAAATCTATCATATCTGAGTATTATGAAGTGGAGTGGAAAAAATAACTGCAAAATTAAATATTTTCCTCCACCTCACCCTTGGGCTTCAAAGTGATCTCAAAGAGATCTTGGCAGATCTCATGATCACGTGTTCTTTTAAATTTAGTAATATTGCAATAAAAACTGATTATACTATGCCACACATTCTGTATTCAGACACAGGTACATAGACCCCATAAATAGTTAACATACCACCATTGGAAGACAATTAGAAAAAAAAGATTTTACCACAACAAATAAGGCACTGCTATGTTGACTTAATCCAGGCAGAAAAGCAAGTCCTGAACGAACTTGGTAATCTCTAAATCCTCCAGCCACAGAAAGGGTAGTTAGATTTCTTACATCTTGGGCCTTTAAAATCCAATGATTGTTTACAGCTGTATAAAAATCTTTGAAAAATTGAAAACAGATTAAAAATTTACTTCATATAAAGAAACAGCAGAATTTTTTTCACAGCATTTAGTAAAAAAGTTTTTTGTGAGCAAGCCTGGTAGCATACCCAGCAGTCATGTTTCTATTCCCATATTTTAGTCCTGTATTAGAAATCTACATTATTTCTGTACCCAATGCATGGATGATCAGGCAAATCAGATGTTACTATGCCTTTTTATATCAGCAGAGAAGGTTCCAATATTTAGTCTCATGACAAGAAAGGTTAAACATGAACCAAATCACTCTACAAAACCCTGTAATGGCTTGTACAGGTTGAACCTCACTAGTCCGGCACCCTCAGGAACTGAACAGTGCCAAACCAGAGAATTTGCCAGACCATGAGAGGTCAATATTGTCTAGCAGCATTACCTACATTTCCACTGATTAGTGGGCTGTTAGAAGACATTTAGGGGTAAAATAGAGCTAAATAACAGCACAGAACACAGAGCCAGGATTGGTGGCTATAAACAAACTTTATGGGACCACAGGAAACTTGGCCACACACTCACGATAAGTGGACATCCAGCTAACTAAAATCATGCTGGACCATGGATGTTGGTGGACCAGAGACTGCCAGACTAGAGAATTTCAACCTGTAATTAGTGATCAAAAATGAAGGCTAGGTGGAAGTATGCATTTGTGATATTAGTCAACAGTGGGAGGAGAAATTAATAGAAAGGCAGCAGTGAGAGCATTGATATAATGTTAATACAGTAATTCTTTTCTCCTTTTTGGTACTGCAGATTTGGGGGTTTTGTGTGATCTGCACATGTTTAATGAGGAGCAATATTTGTATTTAATATTCTCATTGCCCTCCCAAATTCTTTTGAGTTCCCTCAAAGGACCGGGATGAAACATGGCATATTGTATAAAAAGTAACAGAATAAATAGCTATTCAGTCAGAAGGGAAGGTGATTTTGAGTATGAAGGTTTAACACAAAGCAGCACTCACTCATGGGGGAAACAAGAAATTATTTTGACTGGTAATTTACAAGGTTCCATATTCTATTTTCTGTGTAACTGATGGAAAGTAAGCAGTTGTCCCACTACATGAAAAGCCAAGTTAAAAGCGGCTAGACAATACTTTGACATGTGATATTGACAGATGTTCTGGTTCTATCAAACAGGAGTAGAAGAGTATAGCATCTAAGAACGTATCTCTTTTCATAACACCATCTTTTCAGGACCCACTGATACAACAGATTCTCATATACACTAGGGATGTTAAAAAGAGGACAATTTTGTAACCGTGTAACTGCTTAAAAATCTCAGAAGTTACAGTTACATACACAGGGCAGCAGCCAGCTCCCCAGGAGCCAGTGTGCACCAGAACCAGCTTTTAAGTTGGCTCCTGTCACATAACAGCTCCCATCTGCTGCCTTGCATCCAGGGAGTCAGCTGCCACCTCATTCTGCTGCTTCTGTATCAGAGGCAACAGCATGTGATGACAGCTAGCTCCCTGGAAGCTGGTGCATGCTGGGAGCAGGGCTGCAGGCACACGGAAGTGGGACTGCAGGTGCGAGCCAATGTGCACTGGGAGATGGCTTTTATATCAGAGGCATTCAACTTCCGGCACACACTGGCTGCCACCCCACGCTGCTGCCTATGATATAAAGGCAGCAGTGCAGGGCGGCAGCTGGTTTCTCAGAAGACGGTTTGTGCCAGGAGCCAGCTTTTAAGCCAGCTGCCAGTGGGCACCAGTTCCCCCAGAGTTGGCTGCTGCCCCCATGCTGCTAGCTCTGATACACACTTAAGCATTAAGAAACAAACAGATAAAGCCCAATGCAACATGACGATCTGAACTGAAGTAAACTTACCAGTAAGATATTTGTCTAAAGGCATTACAGGTGCAACATGAGGCGTAGCTTGTGTAATGAGAAGGTTTATAAGTTCAGGCTTAAAATTCTTTAGCGTGAGCAATGCTCTTGCAACAAGACCACCCATGGAATGACCTACTATCACAACACTTTTTGGTGCATATTCTTGGTCCTTGAGGAAAAGAAAAGAAAATCACTCCAAGTTAGAATGTGAGAACATTCATTTAAATAATTATATGAAAATTATGAAAATATTAATATGTCATTTCATTATCAGTTGTACATTTCTCTGAAATTGATCATGTTGCTCAAAGAAAATAGCCTGATTTAATAGTTCAACTGCTTGTTACTAACTGACCCAATTAAGTTCAACTGCTTGTTACTAACTGACCCATATTTTAGATGCTATGGTCTTCCAAAAATCACTTAATAAACTCAGGCTTATCACAAGGAAAATTCAGATTGTAGGAAGAGCTATACTTCAGAAACTGTAGTTTATAGCTGTTATAATTAAGATTTTTAAAAGAGCAGGCCAACACATAAATTATGGTAAGAGGAATGTTTTATAAAACTGTATTAAACATTAAAATAAACAATTCTGGAAACATCAGCCAGCCTACTGCAATTCTACTTAAAAATTACATATACATGGAAATATTTATTTTATTTAAAAACAATGCAAAACCTACCCAAAGGCTTTGGGTGCTCTCACTATCAGATAACACAATCCAAAAATTGTTTACTACATCAAAATTAAAGCAGGAGTATTTTTCACTTGTCTACATAATTTACTCCACATAATTAACAGCCAATATATCTATAACAATTTAAAATTTCCACCCTACAATTTCCCATTGAACAAAAATCCCATCTCAAGTTTCTTAGGAGAAAAGGAAAAACACAAAATATAGTTCATCTGTATACCTTACCTTGTACAGCTTAAGAATTACTTTAATGCACTCATGCACAAATCTAGTTTGTCTTTGCAGACTACCACCATAGAGTGCAACCAATTCCTCGTTAAAATTGACAGTATAGAAATTGAAGTGGTACTTGAAGTCAATGTCTTCTGCTTTTCTAAGTGCTATAGAGCCAAGAGAACGCACTGAGAAAAGAAATTGCACTAGTTAATCACTGAAACCACCTCTCTTGTCAATAATACTATTCTACAATGAATTCTCCAGTACAAACACTATATAGCTGGTCCAAAACAAAGTATAGGTTGAACCTCTAAAATCTGGGCCTCGCTGGTCTGGCTACATCCGGAGGACCATAGATATTGATGGACCAGAGAGCACCCCGGCTGGTTAGGTTCAGGAGTAGAGCCTGGGCTGGGCCAACGGCAGCAGAGCTGACATGGTGAGGAGCACAGCTTTGTCTTTACTGTCTTTATTCACCCTGGAAACACCCTCTCACTGTGGAGATTCAGGTATTGAACAAATTCAATGAGCCCTGCTGAAAAAGCTAAGCCACAGATATTCAAAGCACTGAACAGACATTAAATAATTCCTATAGCACTCCGGAAAGATTAGTAGATTTTAAAATTGAGCAGAACATAAATAATCTAATCTGATTACCTTTATAATCAGGTAAATCAGGTTTGTCGGGGGCAGGTGAGCAAAATTATTACTGTAGTGAGCCCAAAAACTTGTACTTGACTAAGATATCTTCTAGAAAAGAATCCAGACTTGAACTGAATTGAAAAGAGAGGGGCTCCACCACTTTCCTTGGTAGTTTGTTCCAACGGTAAATCAATCTCACTGTTAATGTTGTATCTTATTTCTAATACAAATTTGTCTGGTTTTAACTTCCAGCCACTAGTCTTTGTTATGCCTCTCTCCCTTAGATTAAAGAGATCTTTAGTATCAATATTTTCTCCCTGTAACAGCACATACACACTTTAAGCAAGTCTCTTCTTGATCTTTTTGCCTTACAATAAGGCATTTTTGCAGCTACAGGTGGGACCTTGCTGGTCCAGCACTCTTGGATCCTGAGTGGTCCCAAACCATGGAGTTTACCAGACCAGGGGAGGTCAAGGCTCCACTTCCAGCTCTGCTTCCCACTGTCAGCCCCATATCCCACAGACCCACCCAGGAATAGGACTGTGCTCCTCACCACTGCGGGAGCAAGTCTGGGCTGTTCTCTCAGCCACCAGCACCACTGCCTCTGGCTGGGCCAGGGCTCCACTTCCACTGTTCCAACCTGGCTAGGACTATGCTCCCAGGTGCCGGCCCCACTGCCTCTCACTCAGGAATGGCTGTGCTCCTCACTGTACCTACCCAACTGGGGTTGTGCTCCCTGTCTCCGCTGGCTGGTGCTATGCTTCCGGGTGCTGGCTCTGTTGCTTTCTGCCCACCGTACTGACCTTGCTGCTGCCAGGGCTGTGCTTCCCACTGCCAGCCCTAGCCCCTGAACCTGCCAACCAGGACAGGCAGCAATATGCATGGTCTTGCTGGACCAGAGAGTGCCAGATATTAGAGGTTTAACATGTATCAAATAGTCGATGTGGCTTTTCTCTCTCCAAATCTTCAATATTCTTTTTAAAATGGAGATACCAGAACTGGATGTAGTATTCTATTAGCAGTCTCACAAACACAACTCATAGTGATAAAATCACCTCACTACTCTTCTGTTTATACATCCAAGCAGCACATGAGCTCTTGTTGTCCCAGCATTGTGCTGAGGGCTCTGTTTGTTCACTATGTTCCCAAAATCCTCATCAGAATCACAGCTTTCCACCAATACATTTCCCCCATTCTGTAGGTACAACTTGAATTTTTTTGTTCCTAGATATGTCATCTTCAGTTTGGTTGCAATAATATACATTTTGTTTGAGTGGGCCCAAATTACCAAGTGATCCAGATCACTCTGTATGTTTCCCTTTGACTCATAACTGGTCTCTCTCTGCATTGCTGTATTTTCAAAAAAACCTAATCAGTTCACAATGGGATTTGTACTACTTTAAACATAATTACAAATGTCTATTTGGCATCTTGTGTGATGATTAAGTAATCTTCTTTGGCTATCATTGCCCTTTAAGTATGTTTTCTATAACTATAAATTATAAAATATTTTATTAAGTCATTAAAACTAAGTAAGTTTAAACTCAGTCAAAAAATTAATAAAGCACCTTTAAAGGTTAAAAAATTCAGCATAATTTATTTATTGTCTGAGTGTATAAGGCTTATATACTCAGCTTTTTAAAAATATTTCACTTACCTAACAAACTATTTTGGGACATATACTAATTGTTTACAAAATTGCTGGGGGGATTTAACATTGCCATTAGAGCTCTGAGTAATTCTGTTTCAAAGCACTTCATAAAACTAGAGTAATGGTCTAATGAAGAATGACTGTCTTCAGAATAACACTGATTATGCTACATTTAATTAGTTAATGTTTACACAGCATTTTCAAAACCATAAAGCATTGCTTAACTACAAAGAACTCACATATCTTCATTTTTCTCTAAAAACGTACAACCATTACTTCCAATCTCTGAATGGAATGAAGTATATAAGGGGATAATGAGTTTATAGAGAATGTAGATACAGATACTTGAAGTCTTGGAACAACATGCCCTGGTGGATCCACTCACCCGTTAGGTAACTAGCAGGGGATCGGAAACTGCTTTTGTAGATTGGAGGAGTTGAGACTCATTTTTAAGGAATCTAAAACCTAAAAGTGTCTTTCTTTGGTAATATTCCACATAAAGGCAGGAAGAGTTTAGTTTAACTTAAAAAATAAGATAATACTTTTTATATAACTATCAAAATTCAAATTACTATATTCCTACCTTGTTTGTAACTCCCACCATTCCCAGGAAGGAAAAGAACTGGAATTCCTGTCAATATCAGATTTTTGTTTTCTTCTGCATAATTCCCTTCACCATAGAGATAGAGCTCATAGGTTGGATAGCGTCTGGATATTTTCTTAGGTAGTTTTATTTTCTGTGACAAGAAATACATATGGTTAAACATATAGTATCTCACTAAAATTAATGGATCTTTTACAATTCCTACAAATTCAAGATACTGGACTTCTAAAATACAAATTAACAGTAACTATAAAAGAAGCAATTTGCATCATTACAGGAAAAGTGTTTTATACTGCAGCTAATACTCTTTTCTCTGTACAATTTTTAGCAATCTTATTGTAACTTTAATCAATTTGGTGGTTGTATTTTTTATAACAGAGAAGCTCATCATCTTGACTAACAATTACCTGGACGGGTGAAATACATTAGCTTCTGTTTACTGTTTTAACTTCAGAAGAGCAAGTGCATATACTGCAGCAAGCAAGAAGACATATGTTTTTACAGCAATGTATTGTAGTTTATGTATTACATATTTCTTTATGTTTGTATATTAAGTTTTTCTGTAAGACAATACAAAATGTTAATAAGATAAAACAAAATAATTAGTTGTTTTATTTGTTATTTTTGCTATATATATAACCAATAGCTTAAGCCAACTACAGGCAATAGTAGCTAGAAAATAAGATCCTAATCCAAATTGCACTAAAGTCGATAAACTCCCATTTACTTTAGTAAGCTTTAAATCATCGGACTAGATCCAGCTCACCTACGGCTTTGATCCGGCTCATGACGCAGTTCCAGGCCCTGCCCCCTAGCATGTTGCCTCGGAGAGGAGAATTGGGAGAGCCCTTCTAACTGCTTCAATTTAAAGGTCTTGCTTCTTTCCCGCACCTTCCATAGCAGCCATGGGGAAGGCACAAGCCCTTTAAATATAAACAGTTGAAAGGGCTCGCATCTCTGGCTCCCTAGCTAAGCGCTAGAGGCATGGGGAGCTGCGAGCCCTTTTAGCACTAGAGGCACGGGGAGCTGCGAGCCCTTTTTAGTGCTTCTCTTTAAAGGGCTCATGTCTTCTCTGCCCATCAGGTAGCATTGCCTAGCAGCGATGAGGAACACGAGAGCTCTTTAAATCGAAACAGCTGGAAGGGATTGCGCATCTCCAGCAACATGCTAGAGGCACAGGAAGCTGCATGCCCTTTCAGCTGTTGCTATTTAAAGGGCTCTTGCATTCCCTACAGCTGCTAGGCAACGCCTTTCCTGACAGGTGCAGGGAAGGCACCAGCCCTTTAAATAAAAGCACTTAAAAGGGCTTGCAGTTCCTGGCTCCTCTAACGTGTCACTAGGGAGCCAGACACACAAACCCTTTCAACTGCTTCTATTTAAAGGGCTCGCCTGCTAGCAGCTACCCGACAGGTGCAAGCCCTTTAAACTGGGGATATTAAATATCAAGTAATTGACTTAAATTAGTCGATAGAGCATCTCTGGCTTTGAAATGTAGCAGCAGCCCCACTTCAAAGGCAAAAGCGCCATGTGGAGCCTGGGGTCAGCTAGGGACTCCTGCTGACCCTGGGCTTCATGCGGCGCTGCCATTTTGAAATGCCGTGGGGAGCCTGGCTTTTCAGCAGTGGAGTCCCCAGCTGATCCCGGGCTCCACATGGCGCTGCTGCTTGGAAATGCTGCATGCAGCCTGGGGACACCTCAGCTGGCCCTAGACTGCACGCAGTGTTTCAAAGCAGCGGTGCGGTATGGAACCCAGGGTCTGGCCCCAGGCACTACACGGTGCTGCTGCTTTGAAGTACCCCTCCGCTTTCCCCCCTTGCTGCCTCTTTCCGATAGAGGCAGCAAGGGATGGGGAAGCAACTAGTCATTCACGTCCCTACTTCAAACACAAGCAATTGCAAAGGTCCCACTGGCCTGTTGCCTGGGAGCTGCTGGGGCGGCATGAGCCTTTTCAACTGCTTCTATTAAAAGGGCTTGTGCCTGCCAGGCAGCTGCCAGACAACAGGTTAGCAGTAGGGGCCAAGAGTTGCAAGCCCTGTTATATGAAATCTAAGCCTCCACCCCAGACAACTCTGGGAGGAAGCTAGCCCCTGGCACTCTCCCCTCCTAAGTTATTTTGAAATACCTTAGTCCATGTCTACACAACAGACAGTTATTTCAAAATAACATTGAAATCCTGTCAAGCTGGAGAACTTCTTACTCCGACTCCTGTAAGCCTCATTGTACAAGGAGTAAGGGAAGTCAGAGTGCTCTGTTTCTAAACAAGTGCCGTGTAGATGCTCCCAATTTCAAAATAAGCTACAAAATTAACGTAGCTCAATTTGCATATCTTATTTTGATTTAAGCCCTACTGTCTTGATGCACCCTAAATGAATAGATTAAGAATCATCATATTTTGTCATGTTAAATTTAGGTGGTTGTTACCCCAAAATTCTCACTGAAGACCACCCAGGATTACACTATTATGCACACACACAGAAAGAGGAGCTTCTCAGAGAGTTTCTGCCACCTGCTCTTTCCTTTTATTGCCTCTGTACAATTCCTGTGACTCATCCACATTTGTCACCAGGGAGCATGTCCAGATTTCCCTTGATCCTGGTCTCAGGGCAGCATTATCTCCTTGATTGGTCTGATAACTCATCACCTGGCTCTACATGCTCAGCCTTGCAGTTTCTAATCCCAAACACACAATAGTCTCCATTCACACACACACATTCCTATTTCAGGGGAGAATGCAGTTCAGAGCAAGTTACAAGCAGAGTGGATGAAAGTTACAAAGTTTCAAGGTTTTACAAAGATTACAGAATTGCAAGGTTTAACACAGATTACAAGGAGTTGCAGAGTTTAAAAGGCAATGTGTCTGAAACAATTCCAAGCTTCAGAGTAAAGAAGTGGGCTGTGCCCAAGAAAACTCATGATACCATCTACATGTTTTATTAGATGATGAGCTTTCGTGGGTCAGACCCACTTCCTCAGATCAAATAGTGGAAGAAAATAGTCACAACCATATATACCAAAGGATACAATTTTAAAAAAATGAACACATATGAAAAGGACAAATCACATTTCAGAACAGAAGGGTAATGCGGGGGGGAGGGGAGAGGCGGAAGGAAGGTAAATGTCTGTGAGTTAATGATATTAGAGGTGGGGAAAGGTAAATGTTTGTGAGCTAATGGTATTAGAGGTGATAATTGGGGAAGCTATCTTTGTAATTCCTTCTGTTCTGCAATGTGATTTGTCCTTTTCATATTTGTTCATTTTTTTAAATTGTATCCTTTGGTATATATGGTTGTGACTACTTTCTTCCACTATTTGATCTGAGGAAGTGGGTCTGGCCCACAAAAGCTCATCATCTAATAAACCATCTTGTTAGTCTTTAAAGTGCTACATAGTCCTGTATTTTGTTTCAGCTACACCAGACTAACACGGCTACATTTCTATCTACATGTTTTGTTAGTCTATAAAGTGCTACCAGACCATTTGGTTTTTTTTCTGTAACAGACTAACTCAGCTATCCCCTGAAGCTTCAGAGAATCATTTACAAATCATCAGTAATGAAGTGCTTCAGAAGACAATGCCTCTTCCCCCCAGCAATGCAGTCAGCAGGATGTTTTTGTCAGTCTCTAAATCATGTGTTGGCAGGACCTTAGGGTTTAGTTTATTTCCAGAAAATCCATGTGTAAAATCAAGTAATAGCTCGGGTGGAGGCTTTATGCAACAGTTGTATGTGCCTCAGGCTAGTTTCCATGTCATTATTAATTTTTGCGACATGGCTAGTATATATTGGATGCTTGAAAATAAGAAATCTTATTTGTGATAAATGTACGTTTTGTGATGTAGATACTTGCCACTTAAAGTCAGGCAAAATAGTGGTAATATATACCAAATTATTGTCTAATAACTTTTTGCCATTGCCAGCCTTAGCTACATTAAATGGGCACTTCGATGATAAAAGGCAAGATGGATTTTGTTCTGTGTACGTACAACACCTGGCACAATGGGCTCCTGCTTTATGACTGATGTTCCTAAGAGCTACATGCATCTGACGAAGTGGGTCTTTGCCCACGAAAGCTTATGCTCCTACACTTCAGTTAGTCTATAAGGTGCCACAGGACTCCTCGTCACTCCTAAGAGCTACAGTAATACAAACAATAAATAAATGCATACCTAAGCCATCCAGATTACCTCATTTTCTTTCCCCACACTTTTTTCTCCCCAAAACAACAAAAGCCAGATACTTTGAAGACTGAACATTTTATAATGTTTCTTTCTAACTACGACTTCAGACATACTGCTAAGGCAGCACGGGGAAGCTTGCACTATCACTGCTTGTTCTACCACTGTAACATAAAACTTGCTTATAAGACAGAATGAGAATTTAAATGCTAACAATAAATGAAGAGAACAGTCATGCTGGTGGGTGTTAATTTCAGACAACTTCTAGTTCTATCATCAAAACAGAGATTTTGGCAATTACATATCGTCTGGTAGTACTAGGCTGACTGCAGGTGAAGGTGGTTTTTGTCACTGGTAGTTCTGCACACTATATTTAAACATCCTAATTGCATACATGATTGTGTTTAATGAGGTGATCACTTAAGCAAGCTAGTTCATGCATTTACATTAAGTAACCCTTCTCTTGTGCTTTCCTTTTTTAAAGTGACAGTGTCCAAGTTAGCAGACCCTAAAATTAATTAATTAATGTGCTGCTTATTTGATTAGACTAGGGATGTGACAACGAACACAAAGCTTCACGGTTACAGGCAAGCGGGTCTCCTCTCCACCCCCAGCTGCTGCCTGTGTATCAGAGGCAACAGCATGGGCAGGAGGGAAGAGTAGACGGCAGCTGCTGCTCGCAGGGAACCAACTTGGTACCATCTGCAGACGTGCACTCTCTACGGCCGTGGTCACCCACAGAGAGCGGGAAGAAAAAGCGCCCCGCCCGGTGTGTTTGCCACGTGCATGTGGCTGCATTCAGCCCCTCCCCCATTTCACCCACGCGCCGGCACAGTGACCGCTGTTCGCCGTGCCACAGGTCTCGCGGCTTGTCTAGATTAGAACGCTCTGCCCAACGGCCCTTCCCTCGCGCGGCGGTTGAGGCGGGGCGCTCCCAGCCCAACGGCCTCTGAGGAGCCAGTTACCGCTCAGGGCTGACACGCCGGAAGCGGCCGGGCGGGAAGAGGCGAGGCCCGCCGCGCACTCACCAGATACTCGGGGTACTCGTACATGTACGTCATGCTGCAACGGTTCTCCTCGTGCAGGAAGAGCACGTCCCGCACGCCCAGCAGCGCCAGCGCCGCCAGCGCCCCGTAGAACAGCGCGGCCCCCCCGCCCATCTTCCCCCCACAGAGCGAGCCCCGCGTCGCCCGCCAGCGCCACGCGCCGGTCACGCGAGGGAGGGGCAGAGCAGGTCTCCTGGGGGGGCGGGGCCGCCGCACCCACGTGGAGCGCGCCGGCCATGATGGGGAGGTCACACCTGGCGGGGCCTGTCAGCCATGTTGGAGAGGGCGGGAATTAGTCGGCAACACGCGCATGCCCGCTTGGGAAAATCAACATCGGCCGAAAAGCGGGGAGGGGCCCTGCTGGCGTCGGGGGTTGGCCGGGGAGAAAGTCAGGAGGCTGGAAGCCCATTGGTTCTGCTGAGCTGCCCTCGCCTCCTTCACAAAATCATCCCGGCTGTGTCTACACTGGCATGAATTTCCGGAAGTGCTTAAAACAGAATAGTTTTCGTTATAAGTATTTCCGGGAAAAGAGCGTCTACACTGGCAGGCTGCTTTTCCGGAAAAGCCCTTTTTCCGGAAAAGCATCCGTGGCCAATGTAGACGCGCTTTTCCGGAAAAGAGCCCTGATCGTCATTTCCGCAATCGGGGCTTTTTTCCGGAAAAGACGACTGGGCTGTCTACACTGGCCCTTTTCCGGAACAGTGTTCCGGAATAAGGACTTATGCCCGAGTGGGAGCAGAATAGTTTTTCCGGAATAGCAGCTGATTTTGTTCAGTTCAACGTCGTTGCTTTTCCAGAAATTCAAGGGCCAGTGTAGACAGCTCACAGCTTATTCCGGAATAGCGGCTGATTTTGTTCAGTTCAACGTCGTTGCTTTTCCAGAAATTCAAGGGCCAGTGTAGACAGCTCGCAGCTTATTCCGGAAAAGCAGCTGATTTTCCGGAATAAGTGGCCCAATGTAGACACAGCCCCAAAGTGCAGGATTGAGTGGTGAGGGGGGAATTCAACAATCCAGACATATGTTGGGAAATGAACGCAGAAGGGCACAGATTATCCAACAAGTTCTCTGACTACACCGGAGACAATTTTTTATTTCAGAGGGGTGAGAAAGTTCCAGGCGGGGAGGGGGAGCTGTTCTTGATTAGATTTTAACAAATAGGAAGGAACTGGTGGAAAATCTGAAAGTGGAAGGCAGCTTAGGAGAAAGTGACCGTGAAATCATAGAGTTCATAATTCTGAGGAATGGTAGAAGGGAGAACAACAATATAGAGACAATGGATTTCAGGAAGGCAGATTTTAGTAAATTCAGAGAGCTGGTAGGTAAACTCAGAGAGCCCCTGGGAAGCAACACTAAGGCTATGTTTACACTGCAAGCTTTTTGCATAAGAACAGCTGTTCTTGCGCAAAAACTTGCAGAGCATCTACCCTGCATGCGTATTCTTGTGCAAATTAATTTACAGTAAAGCACTGGAAAACAGGGCTTCTTGCACAAGAGTTATTCCTCTCCCTATGAGGAATAAGCCCTCTTGCACAAGAGCTCTTCCACAAGGCGGTGTAGACAGGCATGGGTTTCTTGTGCAAGAAAGCCCTATGGCTAAAATGGCTCAGAGCTTTCTTGCGCAAGAGAGCGTCCACACTGCCATGGACGCACGTGCACAGAAGCACATCTCTTCCACAAAAGCACATGGCAGTGTGGATGCACTCTTGGGGAAGACCTTTTGCACAAGAACTCTTGTGTAAAACAGTTCTTGCGCAAGAAGCCTGCAGTGTAGATGTAGCCTAAGAGTACATCTACCCTGGTTGGGTTTTTTTCTGGAAAAGCTATGCAAATAGCACTCTGCCTTTGCATAGCTTCTTCCATTTTTTTTTGGAAGAGGCTTTTCTACCATTTGGCCCCATCTATACCACTAGGCCACTCCAGAACCCTTCAGGGCATCTCTTCTCCTGCCTTTCTAATGCCAGAGCCTGCTCCATTCCAGGGAAAACTGGTGTTGGCAGAGGATAGGCGCAGTACTGAAGCCCACCATTGTGCACTCCTCATGTGATTGCCCTATCCAGTAGGCCACTCCAGAACCCACCTCACCACCTTATCTTCAGGGCATCCCTTATCTTCCTAATGCCAGAGCCTTCTCCATCCCTGGAAAAGCTGGTGATGGGTAGGAAAATCTGGTGATGGGCAGAGTGAGGGGGCAGAACTTGAACCCACCACCCTGTGCTCCCCAGGTGAATGCCCTAGCCAATAGGTCACTCCAGAACCCATCCTACTTGTTTACCTTCAGGACATCCCTTATACTGCCTTCCTAATGTTAGCGCCTACTCCCTCCCTAATGCAGAGCATATATAAAGGCAAGGTCTTTGCAGGCCCCTACCTTCTGCACTCCAAGTGGCAGAGTGGGGAATAACCCTGACAGAGGGTTGGGCAGGAAGAAGGAGATAGGATTGCCAGTTTTGGTTAGATGTATTTCTGGAGGTTTCCTTGTGTAACAATTTTTAATTAAAGATTCATCTTTAATTCCTGGAGAGTCCAGAACAATCCTACAGGGTTGGCAACCCCTAGGAGTGGAGCTGCTGCTCTGGTGCAGGGCTACTGGGGTTTGAGAGAGTAATCCAACTGGTCAGCTCTGGTCCTACTCCCTAGTCACAACTCTAAAGTTTTAACTGCTCCAGAATTCCAGGGATCTGACCAATGAATTCTGGGCCCTCCTTTGGACCCAGACTGGGCTTTGGTTTTCTTATGCAGCGAGTTAAGATGGGATGTCTCTAAAGGGTGCCTTCCCTATTGCATGTGATACTGAGCCCACACAGGTTGTCAAGTACCTCATGTACTGCTAGGGGAACTTTGGGTCTTGGAGGCCTTTTCATTCTTCATTTCTGCAACAGGGTCTGCTAAAAATATCTTCCAGAGTCAGACAACAGCTCAAGGCTGAGAGATACCTAACCTAAGACGACCCTCCTATGTGACAAGTGACATCCTCAAAAGCCTGGTCGGAGGAACTATAACCCCAAGCATCTGCCAAGGTATAAATGATTTACAAACTCCAAAAGAATAGAGTGTTGTCTCAGGAAGTAAGAGGAAATATGATAATGCCATAATACTGCTTATTCTTTCGGGCTATCTAAAGTCTGAAGTCTGCATCTGTGACAAAATATTTCCAGGCACATGTGGAAGGATTATGTGGACTTCATATCGGAGTACAAGGAGCTCAGAAAAACTGAATGTTAGTAACTATGCACCGTGGCTCCTTTGCTACAGGTACGAACATATGCATAGTAATGCAGTGCTCTACCACCTTCTCCATTTTTCCTCAATGGTATCTACAGTATTTTAATCTCTTCAAATGGGCAGAATTCTAGTTATGCTTGCTGCAGGTTATTAGAGGTGGAACTAGAATTTAACCCTGTATCTTTCTTCCCCTACAAAAGTTAGCTGAATACCTAGGATATTAACCCTTTTTCTACAAATGAGGAACATACAGGTTTCTAATATTAAAATACATAATTGTATTGTTGAAATTATTTTAGTAATGGCTAGTCTTTAAAAAGGCAGTGACAGTTTTAGTAAAATAGTCTGGATTTTTTTTGGCAGCTACTTAATTAAAAAAAATTCGTGACATTTATCCAAATTCCTATTTGAAACAAGATTACTTGTACAGTAGTTCTGCTACTTATATAAAGTATAACCCATGTTAATATTATCACAGTTAATTTATTGAGCCAGTTGAGCTAATCAATATGTAAGAGAAAATGTAAAAATATAAAATAGACAGCTCAATCTACACTACTCATTTTTTTCTGCTATGTGTCTTAAAATATTTTTCCAGTGTAATTTCACAAAATGTTATAACTATACAATAGTTTTGAACAAACATATCACTCGGTTTTGCAACAATATTTGTATCATTTTTATTTTAAAAAATAACCATCTGAATGCATTTCAATAGTAGTTTACAGTCAGGGTACTTCATTTCATTAACACAGCATTCAGTAGTTGAAAAAAATACTAAGCTCTGCTTGAACAGATTTAGATTTGATTTTAAGTAATTCACTAGAATAAGTATTTTTTCCTCATTTTGTACAGTCATGACATTTACTGAAGTAATTAAACTCAAATTTACATAAGAAAACATTACAGATAAAACCCCACCAAAACCATCAAACAATATTTTATATTTTTTATTACAAATATGTTATGCAAAATATAACACTGGCACCAGATTTGTAATCACCATGGTTTGTAAAGATATATTGCACATGCTAAAGCATAAAATAAGACAAAACTACAAAACATTAGATTATTGGCTTTTAATATGTAGGATCACTGCATAAGAAACGCATAGAATTACATTTTATGCACACACTCGGATTGTCACTATTTTAAAACATCTTGCCCTATAACACTGACCAAAGGTTTACTTTGTGTAATAAAGCCTTTTCAGCACTGCAGAAATTATACATAATTCCTATAGAAATTCAGCAGATGAATTTTCATTTCAATGCAGGTAGAATATATAAAAAGAAACATCAATTTTATACATTCCAAAACGAGTTGAAATGAAAATTTACTATTATATTGCTTTGTTAAGACTGAAATGAAATAAACAAAAGATAACAAGTTTCACAAAACACTTCTAGAATACACAAATATAAAAAGGCACTCAAAAGTTTCTTACATGACAAAACAATAAAAAAATCACAAAGTCGTAAATTCATCCCAACCAATACGTAACCAAGTTTCTCAACAGTATACAGAATAATAATCCATTTTAAGTATTTATTCTAATTTAATAATAAATCTGGCAGCTGTTTGCTGCACAAAAAGTACCATGCATACTATGGTGCCCTTTTAGTAGTGATAAACTGAAATTCCCAAAGCTATTTCAGTGTAGAATCACAGCAGATTTTAGGCAATTTGAAGATTGTAACTTTTGGTATTTATGATCGAGACTTACAAACCATTCCTGCAATGAAGTCCACCTGCAATTATGGTTAAAATATAAACTAACACCTTGATCCTTCATGTAGAACCATGGGGACAGAGCAGTGCATTCACACAGACCCCATACTGTGTACAATTGGAGAGGTAGACCATGGAACAGCTTTATAATTCACAGACTCAGAGCTGAAGTGCCTGAACCTGTAACAATTATGGACCTAAGTAACTTTACTCCTATGAATAGTTCCATTAACCTTAGTGGGACTGATTAGTACAAGAATAAAGTTATTCCCAAGTTTAACGTTTGCAAGACCACGTCCTAAATAACAAGTTTATTTCTACAAGTGTGTACAAATTATCGTACAAATACAAGTATTAGGGTGAGATTTTCAAAAGCATTCAACATTTTGTTGGTTCCTGTTGACTTCAACAATAGCAGAATTAAAACAAAGGAGAACCCTTTGGAAAATCTCACCCATATTGTACTTTTTGAGTACCATGCTCAAAACATGACTTTCTCGGTGTCTTAAAAGGGTCACAAACAAAGCAAACGTGATCGCTTTTCTATGATTCCTATAATATAGCATACATTATATCACTGATAAAACTGCATGTCCACTTTGTAATCCATGAGAAAATTTAGATTTGGTTCCTTTGTTTTAAAGTAGACACAATACCACATATACGGTATCTATTTGTGGATTGTACTCACTCTAATATCCATTGAATTCAATAGGAGTCTTTCTGCGGACTTCAATAGCTTTTGGATAGGGGCCGCAGAAAGATTAAAAAATTCAATAATAATCAACATAGAATCATAGTGTTGGAAGAGACCTCAGGACGTCACCCTTCCAACAGTTCTATAATGTTACATACAATCGTCATCACAAAGTCAGCATTTATTGACAAATACCACAAAGATGCCACAATTATGTCCTATAGGGAAAATACTGTTCTCTTAGCTACCATTGTTTGGTAACTAATGGGAAATGCTGACTTTTTAAAAATGACAGCTATGAATATTATCTCTGCATTTCTGTACTAATTGTGACTCTTTTCTCCTTCTAATGAAAAGAAAAAAAATATGGGAAATTAAGTTTTAAGTGTTTGTTCTACTTAGAAACAACAAGCAAAATGCAGGATTTCTATTGACTTCAAAACAGACACCACAGAACCCTCCACACTTTCCAGGTTGGTCTTTCCCCTTATTTTCAGTGCTTTAAGTAAGGTAGTTATTGCTAATTAGCAACTAAAAAAAATCAAAATAGTTATACAGTACTAACATAAAAGGATAAGCTCAGGATCATGATTCAGGGGCTTGGGATTTCCACTACAGAAAAATATAGAAAAAGAGAAACATGAATGCTTCAAGGGAGTACACCTTGAGATTTTTTTAACATTTAAATTTGAAATTTTCTATTTCATAATATTCACAGATACATACACGTAATTTAATTTTAGCAGGGCAAAATACAGGTCATATATTATGTGTAATAGTAGACACATATATATGTATTAAAACTCTAAGAATTGCATACTTAAAATGTTTTCCCCCCTCATAAACAATGGGAACCAGTCAAATTGTTAACTAATGTTGACTTTTATTATATGGGCTACTATATATGGGATCAGAATTGGCAATTAAAAAAAGACACAATTTTTTTCTTTTGCCCTGCCTAAACTATTGACTAAGAGAACACCTCCCATCCTTCCCCAGCATAGACTTAAGCCTGCAAACAGCCCGAGTGGGAATATTAGATAGTTTCTACAAATTACTATGGGCCTCTACTTTATCTTTCTGGAGCCATATACTTTAGCTCAATGTTTCTCAACCAGTGGTAGGAGTACCCTAAGGGGTATCTGAGAGAAGTCTGGGGAGGGGAGGGGGGCAGGGCAGGTATGTCAACACAACTGAAACTTGGAGAAGACTGAATTTTTGTTTTAAGTTTTACAGCGCTTTATTATTTTTGTACTTTTTACACCCCAAAACTTCATCACCTGCCCGGCTATGATTAAGTTGTTTAAAAAATGTATGGTGCAATGATAGAAAAAAATGTTGCTTGTCTGAAAACTGTAGGTACTGGGAGTATTTATAATGTTATTTATTTGAAAAAGAGGGTACTTACAATTTTTTTTTTAAAAAAAGGGGTACTTTTTTAAATAAAGGTTGAGAAACACTGCTATAAAGAACAGTAGGGTGTCAGTCTCTGTCTCAAGCTCTCTTAGGGCTAGTCTAGACTACAGGGAAGATTCAAAAGAGCAGGGCTCGACAAATAATACAATCTTCTCGCTTGTGGCGAGTAGATTATAACCTGGAAGAGGCAGGTTCGGGCAATCTCACTTTCGAAAGTGGAGTTTTTGAAAGTGAAAGTAATCTAGACAAGTTTTTTAATCAGCAACCCTCCCCCTTTTTCGAAAAGCCACTTCTCAAAAAATGAGGTTTACACGGCTTTTTGAAAAAGGGAGGGGTTGCCAAAAAACCCCGCGTCTAGATTACTTGCACTTTCAAAAGCTTCGCTTTCGAAAGTGAGATCGGAAAAAGATATGAAAATTCCTGTGGAATTTTCATATCCTCTTTTGAATCTTCCCCGTAGTCTAGACATACATTTAGGATGCCCCCCTTCCCTACTAGGAAACTGCACGTTTTTCCTATGTTCTAATTGGTCTGATAAAAGGTGCTTGGGTGGTGCAATGCACAATGTCACTGTTCACCCCTTACCCCAGAGCCTGGTAATTATCCTCATATTACAACCAGCCAGATAAGTAAGGATCTGAGACTATTCTTGAGCACATATAGCCATGCTACACACTCCCACCATCCTCCCCACTCAAGCGAACAGGTTTAGCTAGATTCACATTTCATTTTGTGTTGTGCCAAATAAGATTAAAAACCATAGTTATTTTTTCCGGGCATTACTTTCATTTCAAATAAATATAAACACATTTACATTAAAAGTATAAGAACATTTTCTGTAGTCTGGAAAAAAATAAACTGTGGTCAACACATCATCAGTTAAAAATATCAAGCTGTCAGCTAGAAATTTGTATCATAAAATGTAAAATACACCCGGACTATTTATTACTCAAAAAGTTTACATTTTTATTGTTTAGAAAAATTACTTCATTCTGTCACTTGTATTCTGAAAAACAAATTAAAATCTTCCATTTAAATACTGAAGCATTTTGGTCCTCCTGGTGTAGAGCTGGTTAGTTCATGGTAGTTTATTTGTTTATTTTTTAAAGTCTCAATCTTCCTTGTGTACATCTGTTTCTGGTGAGGAACGGGGTCCATTTGACCTAGAAGCTTTGGCAGAAGGAGTAGATATATTCACAATGTTGATGTTACTTAAATAAGCTGGTGTCAGTAGGCTGTTTTAGTACATCATGATTCCCTTTCCATAACATGCTTTTAAATTTGTTTCGTATGTCCACTTTCAATTGCTCTGTATTTACCTTTGCTCTGTTCATTTTAATCCAAATATTGGCAAAAGTATTTTTAAACTCCTATAAGTTCTTAGTAAAAACAAGCTATTTAAGTTTAGAAAAGAAAATGAACAATATCAAATTGTCAACAAAATTTAGATGCATCATAATCTACAGCTTTAGATTCTGATATCAGGTTAATTGCTCAGATTAACAGAAGTTTCTAATGACCCTAATTCTGTAGTGCAAATAAACCGTATATGTTTGAGCTGAACTGAAATAACAAATCAAGTCAGGTGAATCATCCGACTTTACACTTATACATGTTGAACCTCTCTGGTCCGGCAACACCTGTGGTCCGACATGATTTTAGTTAGCTGGATGTCCACTTATCGTGGATGTAGCCAAGTGTACCGTGGTTCCATAAAGTTTGATTAAAGCCACCAGTTATGGCTCCCAGTGTTCTGTTCTGTTATTTAGTTCTAATTAACCCCCAAATGTCTTCTAAGAGCTCAGTAAGCAATGGAAGTGTTGGTAATGCTGCTAAAAAATAATGAGCCCTTGTGGGTTAGCAAATTCTCTGGTTCGGCACCACTTAAGTCCTGAGGGTGCCAGACTAGGGAGGTTCAACCTTTAGTTCCACTGATGTCAGTGGGAAATTATTGGCATGAGTGAAACAAGTAGGATTTGGCCTTACATTTTTATATCAGTGTTCTTCTAATTTTGTGCTGTACCTAGGATCTTTTAAAAGTGCCTTTTGTATATTTAAGTGCTTAATACATGCAAAGTGTAAAATGTTTTATTTCTCTTAGAGAAGGTAATACAGGGAGTTTTTTAAAAAGATGCACTTTACCTTTGGTTTGTAACAAGCTATTATCTACTCAACAGAACCTGTGTTAACTAGGAAATAGACAACGAGAGAGAGTTGGGAGTCTTTCTTGGAATCTAATAAAGCCACATTGGAAAGACATCTTTGTACCAACTATAGAACTAGGACACATGAGTATTTTATACAACAGTTCCCTGTTCATTTGTGCTGTCAAAAAAGGCATTTCTTTTTTTCCACTTAAAAGAAGAGGTAGAAACTTTCACAGGAGCACTTAGGAAAGAAAACCTAAAGAAACACAGTGACACTGAAGCTACTGAACATAAATATGAATTCAGCCCAATTGAAAATCCCTAACTTTTGTACTAAAGGCTAGACTACTTTCAATTTTACTTTTACTTTCAATGCCTAATTCCAGAAGTTTTGGCCAATAATACTTTAAAAATATAGTACGGGATTCAAGCTTTTTTTTAAAAAAAATGCAATTAAGAAAAAGCTTTGATTACCAAAGTCAAAATGTCTCAGAATCAGAATCATTTTCATTGTACCCATCCTCTGTTCCTATATTGTTACTCAAGGGTTTATTGTGAGAGTTAATGCTGGCCATATTGGAGCCATCGCAGAGGTGTGTCCTGCTTAAATTGTCTTTTTTAAAACAAACGAAGTTGAAAGGCGTCATTGAACTGGAAGGAGAAAAAGGCATCATGGTAGCCAAAATGAGTGCCAGGCAGTCAGCCACGTCTTTGTTAGGAGCGCAAGCCAGGGCTGGCGTATGACCTGGGCACAAATGCAGACAAGGCAATGGTTAGTACTAGGGGTACTGAGAAGGGGAATGAGCATTCCTCAAATACATCTCTAGAAGACTTCACAATAAGGAGATGTATGTTTAGATACAATCATGCCAGGCAAGAGACTGTGTTACTAATTTTTAAAAAGGCATGCTGGGAAAATACACAATTTATGGAGCGTTTAAGCTAATGTGACCACAAAAAGCACTGTTTTAAAAGTCAGGCAGCATACAGCCTTTACAAAATGAAATAAAACATTTGGTAAACACAGTTCCACAACACAGACAAGATGATGACTGCAAAACAACAACATAAATAAGCATATGGCACTATGAACTGAAGTTGATTTTCAGTGCATATGAACAAATCACATTCTGAGAACAATGACCTTCACCTGAAGACAAATGTGCATTGGATAAAAATGTTAAGTTTTGCCATAATGAATAATAGAGTACATCTACACTTGCTCCCTAGATCGAGCTAGGGATGCAGATGTAGCCAACCGAATACTCCTCATATAACGTTAGTTTGAACCAAGGAGTTTGATTCGAACTAACGTGTCCTGGAGCGTACTTCCTGGTTCGAATCAGCTGGCGAGCAGAATAGCGAGCGGAATAACACGCGGGTGAGATTATGCTAATGAAGTGCGGGATATTTAAATCCTCATTTCATTAGCAATTTCAGTCGCCTACATTTGCATCCCTAGCTCGAACTAGGGAGCAAGTGTAGACGTACCCATATTGATCAATTGAGTATTTCAGAGAGTAATGTATCTAGGAATTACATTATCCAAAACATGCCTTCCTGTTCAGAGAAGAATGGTTACATTCAGGAAGCATGCAATATATATATATATTTTTAAATCACTAAATGTAACAAGGGCTTGGTGAAATGAAAAACTGGGAATCCCCTAAACAGTAGCAATCACCCAATTTTCATTGCAGAGTTAACTTGAACTCTTATTTGGGTGTTGTAGGTATCCATCTATACACAAAAAGCTTTAAAAGACTGAGTTTTGCTGCCAAGTGGGTTATTAATCTCTGTAGTGAGGATGCTGGCTAAGTCACTCAAGTCCAGTGCCTCCTCACAATTCTCCATGTCTGCCCAGAAGGGCAAACAAGTTTTCCTACAGTTTACTGGGAATCAGCGTAACTAAGCTTGCTGTACTACTGAGAACCATGGGGTATGATTCCACCACTAGCAACCCACGCACGGTAAGTACCCCACCACTGAGGATGCAGCCTAGTGGACTTACTCGGGTATGGCTTTGCAGTGTGGCCATGCACGCCTGAGTTCACCCAACCACTGTTCTTACCTTTGAGTACAACTACCCACATTAATTCTGCAGTGAAGATGGACCCTCAGCAGGTTTCATATACAACTACAGCCAAGAAAATAATTTGGAGCTAATAATGATTAGTAATAATTAGGGATGTAAAATCCTGGTTAATCAGTTATCTGGTCATTAAACCTTAGGTTTAACCAGGATCCTGCTGCCAACCCCCCATTTCTGCTTCTCCTCTACAACTACCCACATTAATTCTGCAGTGAAGATGGACCCTCAGCAGGTTTCATATACAACTACAGCCAAGAAAATAATTTGGAGCTAATAATGATTAGTAATAATTAGGGATGTAAAATCCTGGTTAATCAGTTATCTGGTCATTAAACCTTAGGTTTAACCAGGATCCTGCTGCCAACCCCCCATTTCTGCTTCTCCTCTTTCCCCTTGTGGATGAGGGGGGAACAGGAGCCAGTAACCCTGCACACAGGGAGGCCAGCTCCCGCTTCTGGCCCCCTGCACATGGGTTCAGCTCCCAAGCCTCACTGGGCTGCAGCAGCCCTCTGCCTGCGACGAGCTGCAGGTGGGGGGCTGCTCACAGATACCAGTTAACCGGTTACTCGTTCACATAAATAATAAATAAATAATAATAATACATTATTTAAACTTCTTTTTCTTTTGGTATTATGATCTGCTCATGGTCTGACTTACTTAGATTTATTCATTGAGTTACTCAGATACAATTTTGTGCTTTGGTTTGGTGGTTGTTGCTGTTATTTTATAATTTCTAAGGACAATAAACAGTCCATTACAAGTATTTTAGAGTAGAGATAAGGAATTTTAACCGTGTCGATTAGATATAATCACATGGTATTAGTTTTGTTCTATAATTGGATAAGTGTGACATTTTTAGAATTTGGAGGATGGCTTGAAATCCCTTCAGTGAGAGGCAAAGGATTAACAAAAATCTGAATCTTTTCTTTTCAAGGCAGCAAAGCCTGGTCCTAGCCATCATTCATCATCTCACTGCTGTCAGATGTACTTCCTGGGTGAAGAGTTTAAATTTAATCTTCACTCTTTATATCTGCACAAAAGTAATTTAATTTGTATTAGTTATAAAGAGTGTGGGGTTAGACTGAAATCTGGTTCATTTACTTCTTTCTATCCCAATATCTGACAAACCAGTTTCAGAATCCATTCACTGGCCATTTCAAGAGATATACACTCTCACACAGAACATACCACTTATAAACACTAGGGCTACGGCTACACTGCAGGCTTCTTATGCAAGAACTTCTTGTGCAAAAAGTTATTGTGCAAGAGCGCGTCCACACTGCCATGTGTTTTTGTGCAAGAGATGTGCTTTAGTGCAAGAGCATCCACAGCAGTGTGGACGCTCTTTTGCGCAAGAAAGCTCTGATGGCCATTTTAGCCATAGGAGTTTCTTGCGCAAGAAACCCCTGTTGCCCATCCACACATGCCTTTTTGCACAAGAGCTCTTGCGCAAAAGGCTCATTCCTTGTAGAAAGAGGAATAACTTTTGCACAAAAAGCCCTGTGTTCTTATGATTTACTGTACTTTTTCTTGTGCAAGAATACTCTTGTAGTGTGGACGATCTGCAACTTTTTGCACAAAAACAGCCATTTTTGTGCAAAAACTTTGCAGTGTAGACCTAGCCCAGGAGCAGAGGTGGGCAAGATGCGGCCCATGAGCAAGATCTGGCCTGCCAACCTGCCAGATCCAGCCCGGGGCTGTCTCACAGGGTCCCTTACCCTACAGAGCAGCTCACACTGTTTAAACTGCTGGCTGCTCTCTGCTCTGGATGCTGGGGAGGGAGGGAGAAGGCGCCAGTTTCTGCCAATAGGAGCTGAGAAATTTTGCTGAAGGTAAAATGAAGCCTCCTCACTTCCTCCCCTCTCCTTCCTCCCTTTGCTGGAGCAGAGCCACGTGGAGCAGCTGCCCAGCACACAGGCAGGGGGTCTGCTGAGCAGCTAGTTCCTGCAGAGCTACTGGCTGGGAGCCACCTAGGTAAATGCCACCCAACCAGAGTCTGCCTCTGGCACCCCATCAACCATCTGTCCCAGGTTGCCAGCCAAACCAACTCTGTACCCCTTCTTCATGCCCAATTCCCTCCCAGACTCTGCAGTCCCTCCTTACACCCCTCTCCCAGGCCAGAATCCTCTCCTGCACCCATACCCCTTCTTGGATCCTGCACCCCAAGCCCCCCTCCCCAGATCACAACCCCCTACTTAATCCAAACTCTTTTTCAGACTCCACATCCTCTCCTGCTACCCTAAGCTCCCTTCTGCACCTAACCGCTGTCCCAGACCCCGTGCCCCCTCCATAGAAGTGCAGCTCTTGACCATTTATCAAAATCTTGGAGTGGTCCCCATTAAAAATTATTGCCCATCCCTTCACTAGAGTCTAGAAGGTTAAAACTGATATAACTTCATAGCTCCTACAGTTGCAGAACACGGCTTAGGCAAATTCACTTTTACGTTTGAAAGATGATTTGAAAAAAAATGTTTGCAGTATTCACCAAGCTCTAGGTATGACTTTTGATAAACATTAAGTGAGACTCCAGTTACAGGCAGTCCCCGAATTACACGGATCCGACTTATGTCGGATCCGCACTTACGAACGGGGCTTTTCTCGCCCCGGAGCTCGCAGGCGGCAGGACCGCCCAGAGCGCAGCGGTCCCGCCACCGCGTCCTCCAGGGCGAGAAAAGCTGCTCCAGGTCTCCCTGGTGTGCTGGGGGGGACTCCCCAGCACAGCAGGGAGACCCGAGCAAAGCCGCACAGGCGGCGGGGTCCCCCGCCTCTGCGGCTTTGCTCCTGTCTCCCTACTATGCACAGAAAGCCTGGGTATAATTCTCTTTCAATTCACTGGATTTTTTTTAACATAAAGGATGTTTAGAGCTTTAAGCAAAGTGCAGTTTCTGAAGATTACTGTAGTAAATAGAGAAAAACAGGGCCAGCCTGAAACTGTAGTAACAGTACTTTTTAGAAGACTCAGATTCAGCAATGACCTTAAGGTTCTCACTTTTCAGTTTGGCGGAAGTTTTGCAAGCCATGGAAATGGTTGAATCCTGGGGAAAATATCCACTTAGGACTGCCCTTCAGAACATTCTACCAGCAAATCAATGGAGTGGCAAAGCAGTGGCATCAAGAAAAAGCAGTACGTCTTTGCATTCAGCTATAGTCAGTTGCCAGGCATTGGGATAGAAAGAAGTAAATGAACCAGATTTCAGTCTAACCCCGCACTCTTTATAACTAATACAAATACAAATGGCAATAGCCATTTTAGAATCCGTCTGACTCTCTCAGATCAGTTGGAGGAGATGTAAAAGATTACATGCTATATAAATGGGACTGTAGCACACACAAAAAAATCTTTTAGAGCTTATAGCTTAATTTGGTGAAATATGCAAGAGCTGTTAATTACAATATCTGTAAAAAGCAGGTAATACATTTTATCATCATAATCAGTGCTACATTTTGAGTCAGGCAAAATTCATTCAACAGTGCTCCACATGTTTTCTCTGTAATGATATTTTAGTCTTACTGTAATAGACAGTCTCATTACATATGCATTTACTTTGGACCAAATCCTGGCCATGACTGAGATCCAGATGACTTCAATGGAATTAATCCATGTAGTCTGAATAGTATCATTTAGCAAATAACTTTTATATTGTTTTTCATTCCTAGATCCCAAAGTGTCATACAGTGATAGGTAAAAATATTATTTCCCCTTTACAGATAGGGAAACTGAGGCACAGCAATGTTACATCTACTACTTAAGTGCCAATGAATCAGTGATGTAAGAGAAACCAGCTTATTTCAGGAAGTAAAAGATTTTAAAGTTAACTTTAGAATACCATAAAAACAGTTTTGACTTTCCATCAGAAATATTTTGTGTTTAGTAAAAAAGAATTTCAAAGAGTTTTGAAACAAACGTATTTTCACGTTTAGTCACCAATTAAATATGCCACTGTATTCACACTTATCACAAGGTGGTAATAATTTAATAGCATACCACATTTTGTCATAAAATTTGATTGCCAACTTTGATCTCAGAATGCTTTAGGATACAAACAAAACAATTAATGATGGTTTTTCTCCTAACCATTAAACATGCTCTGATGATATGTATAATCCCTAGCTCTAGAGGAAGGTGTTAGAATTTTCTGTTGTCTTTTGCATGTTTAGAAAATTCCAACTACCATTGCATCCAGCGGTTAAAGACAGATTAGCAGCTGACAGCACATGCAAAATTAACATTAAGGGGATTATTGTGATGTCCGCTGGGGTTTGATATAAAACACATAGAAGCAGTATCCTTGTTTGGGTACTTATACAACTGAGTATCTTATTCACAAAGGAGCATAGGCATCAGTGTTGTCTAATTAACCAGTCTGCAAGTCTATTTCTTTGATCACTTATAAAGATCACCTTTTAGGCGCACTTTTAAAGACTGTCAAATTGCATTATTTCGCTTACCATTTTCATCTACCGCTAGTACACATGCCCCTTTGGACAGCAACTCCTCAACCACCATTTTCAGGCCATTTCGTGCAGCAATATGGAGAGGTCTATAAAACATAACACCCTAAATTCATGTACGGTGTGAAATATATTTGAAAGAGCTAGTTAAGTAACACTGAAGAGCACATTCAGTGTTGCAGAGGAAGTATTTTACTTTTCTGAATCCCCAAATTTGTATACTATATAGATTTTAAATACCATCACGTTTTAAATGTAAAATTTAAGTTCCACATCTATAAAATGTCTTTTTTATTTAACGTACACACTCAACCACACACATATGCACTTTCTGTATGAACATGAACTGACAGTGACTCTGTATGTAGTGCATGCGTAATACTTTTAATTATAAAATCTTTATTTGAAAAGCTCTCACTCCTGTCTTGGCTGCTGCAGGACAGGCCTTTGATATTTGGCAGGGAAACTGATCTCAGACTAGGCAAAACGTTTTTTCTTTGCCTCATCTTCAGTTTGGCTGTGATCAAATGTATTAAAAATTCACTATTCCACTTCATCTCCTTTGGGTTCTTCAGGAAGATTCTGACAGGCTTCCAGAATCATTATACAGTCTGTTGGTAGGCCTGTCATTGCTGAAGCACCATTGCAATACATCCCAACTGGTAACCAAAACATCCCTTCTCTCCACCTGGAGATGGACTGTAGGGTTTTCACCTCTTCCCCAGGGACAAAGCCTCCTACATCTACCCTCTTATCGGTGGGAGCAAATCAACCCCTCCAACTACAGGACAGGTCTTGACCTACCCTCAGATACCTGGGTGCATCATTATGTGTATCACTGCCAATCCCAAATCTTAAAAAACCCACGAGACACAAGTTACAGCGTGGGCAGACAGAGAACCTCTTACTGATCTGGGTCTCTACAGTTTGCTATATTGTCACCCGTAAAGAACTGGCTCTGAGCTCTCCTGGAACAGTATTTGCTGCACTCTCTGTTAATCTGGGAAGCGAGCAGGTATGGTTAGGGAATGGGGATGTGAAAGTGTAACCGTGTACATGGTTAATTGATGAGTATGGGCTTATTGGTTAACCTTCATGGTTACATGCAGCTCCTGCCCTCTGTTCTGCTGTCTCTGCATCCAAGGCAGCAGCACGGGTGGGGCAGGCGGGAGCTGGTGCACACAGGGAGCCAGCTTTTAAGCCAAAGCACCTGCCCTCCCCACTGCATTGCTGCCTCTGAATCAGAGGTGCCCCACCTACCCCCACATGAAAATTTCAGTGGTTACATGTTTACCTAAATAAACATTGTAACGTCCCTGGTAGGGAATTCTCCACTGGTATGGTGATATTGTTCTTGATACACCAGTTCCGTAAACTTGACAATTTTTATACACAGAGGAATGAGTCTTACTTCCCTCTGGTTGTTCCCATAGAATACAGTTGTTACGTTGTCAGACATCATGAGAATGTGGTGAGAATGGATTAATGGTAAGAATGCCTTGCATGTTTCTTAGATTGCTCTGTGCTCCAATAGATAGATGTCTGTGTATCCTGGTTTCCCAGGGTATCCAAGTGTGACCATCTATGTGAGAACCCATCTATGCGAGTTCGGGACTGGCAAAGCTGGTTGTCAGCCCAGCCTGGGCAGATTCTGCTTCCCAAGAGTCCTGCCTGCTCAGCTCTGGCCACCGCCTTTCAGGAGGCAGAATCTGCCCAGGCCGAGCTGCCAGGCAGCTTTGCCGTCCCTGAACAGTGTCTGGAGCAGGAAGGCTGTGGGAGGGCGGAGCTTGTGGGATGCAGAGTGACGTGATGATGTCACTCTCTTGTCCCATAGGGAAAACTTTTTATATTTAGAGAGAGATCTTTCTGTGTAGAGACCTTTTTTGAGGTCTTTGGTGCCTTAAATGCAAACAATGACATGTTACTGCCTACATCTCTAGTGGCCTTTGGTGTCTAAGCCGTTGATGAGGCCTATGCTCAGGGATGTCCTCTTGCTGAAGATCTGAAGCAAGTCTCAAGGCTTGTTTCATTGCTAGGAGTTGAAATTTCATCCTCCAGTTATTTCAGGTTCTACCCTTGAAGGAAGCATAGATCTTGCACATATATGAGCATCTCCCAAATGGCAGAAGAACTGGGAATGCCTGTCACTCATCAGGGCAGCCTCATTGCAGGCACAATGCCTTTTAAATCCCAGGGACCTCAGCATCGCGAAGCAAAATAACAACAGTTGATCCCCTAAATGGGGAAAGATTTGAAATCTCTATCTATGAATGACATTTTTTTTCCTAAGGAAAAGGAAAAAGCAAAAAGGGAACAACTGTTCCAACAACTGTATACTAACTAGAGAGTTAACTGCTGAATACAAAAAGAGACACAGCAGACCAGGGGTAGGCAATAATTTTTGATGGGGGGGGCCACTGCAAGAATTTGGAAAGTAATCAAGGTCCGCGCTCTTAGGGTATGTCTACACTACCACCCTAGTTCGAACTAGGGTGGTTAATGTAGGCAATGGAAGTTGCAAATGAAGCCCGGGATGTAAATATCCCGGGCTTCATTTGCATCTTGCCGGGCGCCGCCATTTTTAAATCCCAGTTAGTGCGGACTCCATGCCCGCAGCTACACGCGGCACGGAGTAGGTAGTTCGAATTAGGCTTTCTAATTCCAACTATTGTTACACCGCATTCCACGAGGAGTAACAGTAGTTCGAATTAGAAAGCCTAATTCGAACTACCTACTCTGTGCCACGTGTAGCCGTGGGCACGGAGTCCGCACTAACAGGGATTTAAAAATGGCGGCACCCAGCAAGATGCAAATGAAGCCTGGGATTTTTAAATCCTGGGCTTCATTTGCAACTTCGATTGCCTTCATTAACCACCCTAGTTCGAACTAGGGTGGTAGTGTAGACATACCCTTACATATTAATTGAGGAGGTGTGGGGTTTGGGATGGAGGCTGGATGCAGAGAAGATCTTGCAATATGGGACTGGGATGCAGGAGAGAGTGTGGGGTCTGGGAGGGAGTTTGGGTGAAGGAGGAAGTTGTGGCCTGGGTTAGGGAATTAGGGTGCATTGGTTTGGCTTGTGACCTTGGGCAAGAGGGAGCTGTGACTTGGGGAAGGGGACTAGGGTGCAGGAAGAAGTGGAGGGGTTTCAGTTATGACCTAGGACAGGAGGGGGTTGTGACTTGGGGCAGGGGTACAAGAGGGAGGGAAGAGGGCTGGAGCTGTGATCTGGGACAGAGGATTGGGGTACAAGATCTCCCCCCATGAGTATCTAAAAGGGTGTTACAAGGAGGAGAGAGAAAAATTGTTCTCCTTGGCCTCTGATGAAAGGACAAGAAGCAATGGGCTTAAATTGTAACAAGGGAGGTTTAGTTTAGACATTAGGAAAAACTTCCTAACTGTCACGGTGGTTAAACACTGGAATAAGTTGCCTAGGGAGGCTGTGGAATCTTCATCACTGGAGATATTTAAGAGCAGGTTGGATAAACATCTATCAGGGATGATTTAGGCAGTGATTGGTCCTGCCAGGAAGGCAGGGGACTAGACTTGATGACCTCTCGATGTACCTTCCAGTTTTAGGACTCCATGATTCTATGATCTGGGAAGGAAGATGAGGGGGCAGCGGGTTTGGGTTGTGACATGGGGCAGCGGATTGGGGTGCAGGATCTGGGCTGAGGGTTTGGGTTATGTGAGGTAGGAGGGCAAAGGGTTGGGGTGACAGATGCAGGCTCTGGCTTAGAGACTTACCTGCATGACTCCCAGCCAGCAGTCTTCTCAAGCAGACGCCCCGCCTGCCCCACTCCCGCAATGACTGCAGGGACCATGTGACACAGCAACAAGTCTCAGGGGAGATGGGAGGCTGCTTCCCGAGCTGCCTGTTGATAACAGGCAGCTCCCATTGGCCAAAACTGGCCAATGGGATTGTGCTGGAGCAGGAGAAGCGTGTGAAGGCTCACAGCTGTTCACACAGAACCCGGAAGCAGCTTCTTTCAGCAGTGTGCGGAGGGCAGGCAGGGAATCTGCCCGAAACTCCCCACAAGTCCAGATCTGCTGGCTTGGTGGGCCAGATCCAGCCCACGGAGGGTATTTTGCCCAGGCCTGCAGTAGACTCTCTCTCGGGTCACTGGTGATTGAGAAAGAACTGAGCCAGTTTGCCCACATAGCCCTATGTAACTTCAGTGTGTGGGGTGCATGCATATTACATGGTGCACTGACAGGCTACGTCTACACTGGCCCCTTTTTCGGAAGGGGCATGCTAATTTTGAAAGTGGGAATAGGGAAATCCGCGGGGGATTTAAATATCCCCCGCGGATTTAAATAAACATGTCCGCCGCTTTTTTTCCGGCTTGGGGAAAAGCCGGAATAAAAGCATCTAGACTGGCCCGATCCTCCGGAATAAAGCCCTATTCCGAGTAGGAATAAGAGATCCTCCGGAATAGGGCTTTATTCCGGAGGATCGGGCCAGTCTAGACGTTTTTTTTCCGGCTTTTCCCCAAGCCGGAAAAAAAGCGGCGGACATGTTTATTTAAATCCGCGGGGGATGTTTAAATCCCCCGCGGATTTCCCTATTCCCACTTTCAAAATTAGCATGCCCCTTCCGAAAAAGGGGCCAGTGTAGACGTAGCCACAGGGTCTTTACTTGAAAAATAAAAACATTTTGCTAGCCCTCTTTTATCAGATTGACCTAAGAGCACCTGTCCTCTCATCCACAAAATCTGAAAAAGGACCAGATTTTTGGACCCATTGTGGGCATTACACTAGTTGTCCTACTTGCCTTGGGAACTAGGAAGCAAGTTTTACCTTATGACTAGATTAGTCAAGACAGGATTTTTTTTCTTTGCTTTTGCCACAGTAGGTTTGGAACCCAGTGGAATGAAGCAAGGTGGGGAGATGAGGTTATAATGTTGCAATTTATAATATAAAATGCATGACAGATGTCTAGTGCAGGTTGGAATGGTTACACTTATTGGATAAAATAGATGGGAAAAGGATATGAAGAAAAGCAACCCTCACTGGAGTTGGAGAAGGAGGGCTTGGTACGCTTACATCTGGCACAGTTGGGAGCCAATTTCCCTCCTTTTATAGCCCCACTTTAGCCCTCATATTAGGGAAGGGGATGGAGTCCAAACAGGTTAGGGATTACGTGCAAATGATTAAGGAACTGATGATGACATGCACTGTACAATTTATGGCCAGGTACTTCCAGATATTTTAAGTGAACAAAACTGCAACCTAATTAAGACTCATCCACTCCCTCATGTGTTTCCACTGTGTGAATCAGACCCTAATACTTGCCCAAAGACCACAGCAGGGAAAAAAGTTGTTCCTCTTGTAACTTTTTATGTTTAATCTACAAGGGATAACACTTAAAAAAGACATTGGAAGTCACATTCAACATAACAAGCTAAGGATGCCTGGGAAAACCTATATTTCTTTTAAAAAGAATAAAGCCTCTGATCTTCACAGAAATGTCATATACTACACACTCCATAGCACTAAATCTAGCTTATCACTCTCCTCAATATACTCTAAAAATCAGAGGGTATGCCTAAACTACAGAGCTTTTCCACGATACCGGAGCTATTCCGGAAAAGCTCTGCCATGTCCACTAAACGCGTCTGCTTTTCCAAAAAAAAAAAAAAATTTCAGAAAAGCAGACGCGTTTTTTTCAGCATCTCTGTAAACCTCATTTTACAAGGAAAAAGGGATGTTCTGAAAGAGGTTTTTTTCCCTGACATTTGGCCCCGTGTAGATGGGCCAAATGTCAGAAAAGCCTCTTTTGGGAGAAAAGCAGAAAAAGATACACAAATTGCAGTTTGCGATTTGCGTATCTTTTTCTAACTTTTCTTTGTAGTGTAGGCACAGCCTAACAGTTTTCAGATATTCTACCACAATCAAACATTTTAAAATTACATTTTAAAAAAACTACACACTTACGAAAAATCTAAGTAATGTTAATTTAAAATCCTAAATCTTCATTTACTGGTAAAACAACAATGCATAAAAGCACAAGAGAAAAAACAGTAACACTATATCCATCTTTACTTACGTCTGCAATGCATTATTTTTTGCATTAATAAGGCTCTGTTCTTGGATCTTATCAAGTATTAACAAGGCACATTTTTCATGACCCTAATATTAAAAAAGAAAAATAAATATTAATCTGAAGAGGGTTGTAAAACTGAGGCAAAAGAAATTAAAAATACAAATTCAAATTGTTTTAAAATTACCAACATGGTTCTGAGTTTATAAGAGGGTGCGCACATGATGAATTTCAAAGGCCAGGAGACAGATTACAATCCCTCCCATTATTAGTGGTGAATTTTAGGTAATCCAAATATGCCAGTGTGACTTTTTTCCTTTAAGCCACTGCATGCCTTATACATATCAGGGGTGGGGAACCAGGCCACCGCTTCCCATAGCTCCCATTGGCTGGGAATGCTGAACGTGCCTGTGGGATACCAAAGGTATCCCGGAAAAACTCTGCTGTGTCCAGGGAACATGTCTACTCGTCCGCTTTTTTTTGTGGAAGAGAAGACATGCTCTTCACAAAACCCTGTCTTTGGGATCTTCCAAAAGAGGAGTTTTTTCCAAAATTTGACCCGGTGAAGATGGGCCAAATTTCGGAAAAGCCTATTCCAACAAAAGTATTGGAAAAAAGTACACAAATTGTAGAGCGCAATTTTTTTGTGTACCTTTTCCCCCAAAAAATCATAGTGTAGATATGTAAACAAACCATCTTGCAGCCCGTCAGTTGCTAACCCTGATGAAGCGCAAGCAGCCCAGGAGCCAGAGGTTCCCCACCCCTGACACAGATCCTACTTTAAGCCATATTTTAATCCACGTCTTCATTAAATAGTAGTAATCTTTTGCTAAGCAATATTTACCACTAGTAATAGGCACTTCTTTGACCTTAAAATGCCCGCTTGCTTATAGATTGTTAGTTGACAAAGAAACCCTTAGGAGAATTTATTTTATTTAAATAGTTGAAGTATTTTCCCCTGTATGCTAAGGGTACTTTGGATAATTAAACTTCCAAAAGATTTTATTAAATAATGCAGAATTAGGCCACAATTCTGCAATTTCTTCTGCATGAGTGTAGAGATCAGCCTAGGCAGAACAAATTGCATTGTTGGGGCTTTGGAGTACAAGGGTCTATTCTCATTGAGGGAGGTCCAGTGCCAAATGTACCTTATTAAACTGCAAATATGAGAGGTTAACAAATATAGCAGATACATCTTGATAAATTGAGGGTCCAGGAGAGTATGGCAAAGAGGCCTCAAAACAAACATGATAACTACTAGACTCTCACCTACTCAAGGCAACAATCAACAAAGAAAAATCTGTTGAGGGAATGAGGGCATTTCCATCTTTCTAAACCACACAATGGCATCAGAAAAATAGAAGGAAGAGAGGAGGTGAAGCCTACTGAAATTACTCAAAATGTGTACACAGGCCCCAGGAAAAAACTTTGGTCTGATTTCTCCCATCACCTTTTACAAGATCTTAGCATCAGCTTGAATAGCTGTCCCTTTCCGCAGAAATCCAAGAGATTTATGTAAATCTATATTATACTATATTGCAGCAAGACTATTCTCTTTCCTCTCATATTACTGTAACCTTGCTGGATAGGCTGAAGAGCAAACTAACTCTGCTACAGTTCCTTTCTATCCGCCTCCCACTCAGTTTGTGTATGTCACAGCTCCATTGCTCTCAGGATTTCATTGGCCTGAGAAATGAATGTCAATACACTGCCAAGACCTTTTTTTTAATACCTCGTCAATGCACACATATATAGGGTTGCCAGGTGTCCAGTTTTCGCCCGGACAGTTCGGTATCCATGACCCCTGTCTGGACATGTGAAATGTCTGGTATTTTCTGTTTTTCTTGAACAGAAGGCTGACGGGGACATTCTTCCCCTGATGTATCTGGCTCAACAACTTTGGGCCCCCCCCCCCCCCCCCCCTTTTTTTTTTGGCTCAATCCATTTTTTTCCTGCCATGTTTGGGATTTTCTGTGAAAGCATCTGGTAACCCTACACATATAGTATATATCATGCGAGTCTGTGTGTGCACGTGCATGTAGTCTACAAAGTTCCTTAACATACTTTACTGCTAGCCAAGTGCAAGGGTGTATTCAAGTCCTTATCCTTTACAGTCAGATCAGCCTTGGCACTATTCACCAAAAAATCTGAAATAGAGAAATAAAAACCATGGGATAAATTATACAGATGGATATACATGCAAACGGCAAAAGAGAAAATTAACACCAGTGTCCATAATATGTGCACAAGTCATAAGAATCCTTACTTTATATAAACCATCCCAATGTGGAGGAAAAATTATCAATGAACAAACTAAACTGATTGTGCTATTAATCAGCTATCAAAAACAAAGTTAACAATTGGTTGAAAATGGAAAACTGTTATTTAAATGTATATTTAACCCCAAACTGTCAGTTCAAATTTATTCATTTTAATTTGACAGTTGACATCTGCAGCATCAGAATGGCAGTTTTGGCACAAAATAGTTTCCACCTTGAGTTAACAACTGTGGATCCTGTTTTGAGAAGATAAAGTGAGTTCTGCTGCCTCATTATATCTTTGGGGCGAGATCATGAATGTAGCAATCTAGGATGTGGACTGAGCAGTTAAGCCGGGGAGAAAGTCTGAGAATCTTTGTTATAGGATTTTTTTTTAAATAAAATCCAGACCCAATTGACTGTTGCCCATTCAAAACAATATTTTGCACTTCAAAAGACACATCTTTTAATAATTTAATTACAAAAGATTACTCTTCATCTTCCTGCTACAAAGTAATTCTATTGCCTTGTATTATCAGGGAAATAAGATAAATGAAGTAATTAATACCAAGTGCATTTTTTAAAATCACATGATAAACAACACTTCACAGAAACATGGACAGAGTACATCTATTATTGAAACTATTTGCGAAGTGAAAACAACTAATATGAAATCTGGGTACATAAACACGTGAAACTATTAACATATTAAGCTAACTTACTTTTACCAGTTATATAAAATAGATGGACACATTTAGGTATCTAGTTTTAGTGTCTTAATCAGAATTCCCCAGTGGGGAAAAAAAATCTATTAAAGCACTTGGATGGGTACATTAGCCTTTCTTCTCTTTCCAAATTTACAAAAGCAAGTAGATACCTACCTACAGCACCTGCATGTCCATTTTCAGCTGCCATCATAAGTGGTGTTTTCCCTGAATTATCTGCAGCATTTACCAGTGCGTTGTGATTTAAAAGAAGCTGCAAGCACTCCACGTGATCGGCAAAGGCTGCTGCATGCAGTGGAGTTCTAACAGAAAAAACAACATGATTATCAAACTTTAGGATATTAAATAATATCTAAAGAATTACAATATTGTTATCCATTGTAGCCTTAAGCAGAACAGAACAAGAAGTTCTGAAGCTTTTTTCCTAAAAAACTTAAAACTCTCAACAAAGCAAGTTAGGATACTACTCTTATCTAAGCAATCCTCAGTATCTATACACAAACAAGTCTGAGACTATGTCTACAGTTGCAAAGTTTTGAATTGGGGGGCAGCTGCTGATAAAAAAGCACTAGTTTGTGTTCACACGGTTTTCCACAGACGTTAGAGCAGTCCTCAGCAAAATAGCCTCCATGGACCGACGCAGTGGGGAGTCTCAGGCAGATTCCCTGTCTTCCTCCTCCTCCGCACGTTGCTGAGAGAAGCTGCTGCCGGGTTCTGTATGAACAGCTGTGAGCCTTCATGAACAGCTCCTGCCCTCAGTACAATCCCATTGGCTGGTTTCAGCCAATGGGAGCTGCCTGTTAACAGGCAGCTTGGAAAGCACCCTCCCTCATCCCAAGACTGATAGCTATTCAAAAACTACATGGGCCCTACAACCAGTGCAGGGGTGGAATATGCAGGGGGTCTACTTGAGAAGGCTCCCCTCCCAGATCCTGCAGCCACTTCCCTGCCCCAGGTCACAACTCCCACCTGCTCAAGGTCACAGCCCAAACCCAAACTCTACCCACTCCTGCATCCTAGTCCCATTTCCCAGGTCACAACCCCCTCTTGCTCAAGGTCACAACTCAAACCTCTGCACCATAGTCCCCTAACCCAGGTCACAACTTCCTCCTTCACCCAAACTCCACACCCTCTCTTGCATCGCAACACCTTACTGCAAGCTCTCTTCTGCACCCAACCTCCATCCCAGACCCTGCAGCTCCTCCATTAATATGGAAGAGACAAATTAATGGAAAAGAAATTAGTATGTCAAAGCAGAGCTAAAGGAGATGGGTGCATATGTGCAGGCAGGACTGCTGAGTTTCAAAGACTGGCCACCCCCACTCGGCATTGTGGGACAGTTCCAGACAGCAATCAAAGCAGTAAAAGCAATCAAGAGTCTTCACTGGCACATCAATGCAAAAGCATCAGCACAAAAAGCCTTTGTTGGGGTGCTGTGTGCGTTTTCAGTGAAGGTGCTAGTATGGATTATGCACAAAACCTGACTTTTTGCACTAAAACTGGCAACTGAAGACCGCCTAAAACTCGCACGCATCGGGTGATAGAGCTGTGGACAAGTTCATAAAAACAGGATGTTTAACTTAAGAGAACATACTGTATAATGCAAAAAACCGGCAGACCTCCCTATTATTCCTGATTGTTTGAATAAGCTTGTGACAGATATAATGTAAAGAAAACTTGGATCTGGCCTTCTGATTATTAAAAAATGCTACAGTATTCTATAGTAATTACCTGAATATCCCAGTAACAATACTATAATCTACAATATTTGACGGAATTACTGTAGAGTGTCACAGTGATTTTATATCATTTATAGCTTATTTTAATTTTGAGAGGATCCTATCACTCTCAAGACAGATTCTCTGTCTCCACATGATAATACAGACATCTGTAGAAATAAATTGGGGCTGGAGGATGAAATTGTTTCTAACAGTGTCTGGGGAACGTAGTGTTCTTGTTTTGTTTTATGTCTGTTTTTGTTTTGTTTTGCTGTTTATATTTATTGTTATCTGGAGAACTTTGAAAGTGACTGGAGGTCTTTAATTTTAATTACATTACCACAGTTGTATTGTTGTAATGGTATCAAGAGAAAGCAATGTAATGAGCAGCAATTCAATTGTTATACAACTCTAACAAAACTAAATAAATACATAGAAATACACTGAAGATTCTCACTGCCCCCAAAATAAAGATTTAGGTGTATACATGACCCATGTGATCACCTACATCATTCAGAGTCAGGAGTGTATTTTGTTTAATAAGAATTCTTACAAAAGTTAAATATTTTTCCATCCTACAATTATTGTCCTGCAAAGCACAATGTGCTTCAATACTTTTGCTGAATCAACGCCTATGTGAAGACACATATGTAGTTCTATTTCTGTTTCATAACCCCTGTCAAGTGCACTCTTAGCTTACAGTTATATGTTTTACAACTAGGAATTAACTCAGCTTTTTCATTTCCCCAAACTGGAGTCTACTGTTTCCTTTCAACTAGAAACAGAAATCTGAAAAGGGGGTGAGGGAGAAGCTTAACAGCTACCATATAGGGTTCTGATGAACAGCCCTTAGCTCTGGCTATTTTAAAGAAACAGAGTAATATTTATTTAGGTAGCAACATAAAATAATTAATATTCTCTCTAGAAGTGAATCACTACTTCCTTTGTCATGGTTCGACTTGTGGGTCATCAGGAGCTGGTCTAACAAATTTTAGCCCAGATGTAGACTAGGTGCACGAAGCAAAAATGATCTCAGACTGATTCATGACGGCAAAATGGATTCTATTCAAGAAAATGAACTCTTACCTTCCTTTGTCATCTTTACAATTGACAATGCTGGCATCTATGGCACCAATGAGCAGTGAAGCACAGTTTTCATGATCATTGATTCTATAAAGACCAGAACAATTCTTTGTAAGGAAAAAGTCTGTCTTTCACTCTGCCTATACACATTTCATTCCTTTCCTCAATTGACAGTACATTAGTATTTCTTTCCGTATATTAGTAATGTGTCCTAATTAACTTTTGCTTTAATAATATGAGTCAAATCCCAGCTGCAGTATATTCTATTACACTCAAATCGCAGCTACTGTTTTGGCTATGCACAGTTTATCTCTTGGCTATGCACAGTTTATCTCTTCAGCTCGGCCAACACAAAACAAACTGAAGGTTTAATGTACTTATTAAACTTTAAATCAAAACAAAAACCAAACACATGCCTTCATTTTCAATTAGAACATTTGTCAATGTTTGAAGTGGCTATAAGGAATCCTTCTCAGAAATAAGTCTGAACTAGTGGTCCTGAGAGAACTTTCCAAAACTTCTTTAAACCCTTTAAAAATGAGTTTCAACTGAAATCACCTATTTGAACCTAGGCAATGCTCAGATGAGTGGGCTTAAGTGAAAGCAACTTAATTAAAACACTTAAAATATCCACAAGGCCTCAGTATTTCCAAGGAGTGGGAAGCGGAGGGAAAGGAGAGAAACGGCAGTCTGTGTTTGGCAAAACATTGCAACACCGAGCAGTTTGTTTTGTGGTTTCAACAGACTTTCAAGTTGAGAAAAAGGTTATCCCCTAAGTATTCAATTAAGTCACTTTATAGCTAAAACAGAATGCTAATTTCTCATACTGTCACTTTTTAAGTAACCTTTTAATCAAGTCACTATTTCCATAGAAAGGCTATCATTTTATGAGTGACAATGACCTTCATTATCTTTAAAAATTAAAAAAAAAAAAAAAGCTTGTTGAATTTTGGTCCTAGTCTCCAGATTCCTCTATTGGGGAGAAGGAGACCATGAATTTTTAGTAAGTGACCATTTGAGGTTCAGATTTTATATATCAAGTTTCAGTCTGAAGTGGTTTTATTTTAAGTTGGCTTTTAAAGGGTTCTATTTTTCTAATTTATCATTTTTATTACAAGTTGAACCTCTCTAGTCTGGCACCTTAGGGACCTGACCGGTGCCAAACCAGAAAATAAGCTGAACCACAGAGGTCAATATAGTCTAGCAGCATTAGCAACACTTCCACTAATTACTGGGCTCTTAGAAGACATTTAGGGGTAAATTAGAGCTAAATAACAGCACAGAACACTGAGTGCTAGGACTGGTGGCTGTAAACAAACTTTATGCCGCAGGAAACTTGACCACATCCACAGTGAGTGGACATCTGGCTAACTAAAACTATGCTGGACCATGGATGTTGCTGGACCAAAGACTGCTGACCTTGAGAGGTTCAAACTGTATTAAAAAATTCAAGGTTTAGGTTAGGATGATCAAACATCATACAAATAGAAATGCTGACAATTAACTAGAGAAATGAGAGTAGACCACTATATAGTTATACAGAAACAAATATCAGTCATTTGTAGGAGAAGATAATTATACTAATGGTAGAATGAAGAGTTTGTAAGTCAGTAATTCTAAACCTCAGCAGGCATCATGAATGTTTGTGTTTGATTCTATAATTCTTATTTATTTTTCTGCTGGCTTACCCTAGTCAAAAAGCACTTTCTCCCGAAACACTATATATGCTTTGCCCTAAATTGAGCTAATTTTTCTGAGTATTACAGGCAGATTTGGAGCTGGCCTGTGGTAATCCACTGACAGTGTATATTGGCCTGGTTATTGGGATATTTCTAGTATGAATATGGTGGTTTAACTCAACAAAAGTCTGCCTTCAATTTAGTTAGGAAGGAGAAGAATGGCACAAGGCAGTCATCTATTAGCAAATACTTGTGAGTTCTTAAGGCACACAATGCCAGAACTGCCAACACGTTGGTGATTCTGCCTCCCTCTCCAGATAACATAAAAACTAGTTGTGGCCAGAAATGGCAGAAAATGGCATGACAGAAAAAAGCCCAAGAACGATAGCAAGGTTTAAAGGAGGATGCTTACTCGGAGGAGAGAGCACCAGAGGGAGCCAGCCTGAAATCAGCCACCGCTCCAAGAGCCGGTTAAACAAAGTGGTGCCTGCTTAGGTCACCATTAATGCCTGGATGAACTTGAGATAAGGTAAACATTTGTGTAAGCTTGATTTTAAACCCTTTTTCTTCACATGGTATAAGAGTACTTCTGCTTTAGGGAGGCTGGTTGGTCACTGTATACCTCTGGTCACTGGCTCCTGAAGAACAGAACTGCAGGGGACTGAACTCAGCCAGACCTTTAGGGCTCACATTCTTGGTACTGTAGCTCAGGTCCTGGTTTAAGAGAACTGCCACATTCTACCTGGAATTAGGTAAAAGCATAAGGCCTAAGACCTGAGGAGCTCTACTGAGAGACCAGAAAGGGGAAAGAGCTGCAGCTTGCCCTGTAACTGGGAGAGCGGCAACTTCACACTCAAACTGCAGGAATTCATAAGGCTCTTGATAGCACTAGCTTTTCATCAGACAGTTATATACACTGATTATCAGAGCTAAGAATCATTTGCTAGCAGCATTATTTCTATACCCAGATAGCTTTATTGTTCGTCTGCTAATAATTTTTCTCCATCTATCCTAAAGCAAAATAGCCCGATTCGACAATTATATCTCTACTTACACGGCACAGTGCAATGGAGAGAAGTTATTACCATTAAATTTGCGGAACGATTTCTGTTCCAATAGTACCTCTATGCAGTTTTCATTACCTAAAAGATCAGATGATTTATAGTTATAAAATGCAAAATAATAGCTTATTTTCATATTACAGTTATATGAACATTGTATTTTAGCATTTGAAATTCAAAGGCAGACTGTACTGCATATGTTAAGTTTTTATGCAATAAAACTTTAGGCATGTAAAATACTTTTAGAAGTGCTGCGAACTAGACCCAATTTGGGCCTTTATATATTTTTTAAAAGAGCTCTTGTATTTTCACTGAGTGCTATCACATTCTTCAAAATAATCTGTCACAATTTTAAGAGATGGTCAGCCATCTGTCATTCTGTACTTGGACTTAACAGTCTCAAACCACCCTAATGAGAAGCAACTAAGGCAAGCCTGTTATGTTGTAAGTATCACAGTAACTGTGATAGTCTCATGCACCAGTGTATAGGAGATGACCTCTAAAGTGGAATCCTGGCCTCAGTAATGCAATTGGAGTTATGTCACTGATTCAAAGGAGTCAGTTTTCATGCTCACCCGCCAAGTGATGGGTCTATTGTGCATCATGATTGAGGCTCACATCTAGTGGCTCATTCTGAAGCAAGGTTGCACTTTTGCTGGAATTTCTCTACCTTCTGACGAAGTATAAATGTAGCAATTTCTTGGAACTACTTCAAAGGGCAAAAGGAGAGAATCTACAACTCAAGCATTTTATGCTACTAGCTATTTTACTATTATACTTTCTACCATTAAATCTCACATTTGAGTTGGGCAAGGCATAAGAAGAGAGACGCTTACCATTATAACAAGCCCAGTGCAATGGTGTATAACCTTGATTATCTTTGAAATTACAGTCCTCTTCTGACACTGCCATCTGCAGCAATTCACTCAACCAAGTGGCATGACCATGAGCTGCTGCATAATGTAAAGGTGTCCTGCCTCTGGAGTCTTTGCACAAGATAGATACTTCTTGTTCCAACAGCATTTGAACGCATTCCTCATGCCCAGTCATAATCTAATAACAAAAGTTAATCAGAAGCTTGGTATCGTTTTGGTGCTGAAGCAAAGAATATGTGAAATACACAATGTGCTTATGCATAATGAGGGGGCAAGATTAGGCTCCAGGAAATGGATGAGAAGCTATTTTGTCCCAAGTGAATGCCCTATCCTCTAGGCCACTCCAGAACCCATCCCACCACCCTACCTTCAGGACATCCCATATGATGCCTTCCTAATGCTAGAGCCTGCTCCATCCCTTTGTATTAAAAAGCACCAATAGCAGCTTCTAAAGATATGGTTACCTGACATCCCTCTTGCCCCCACCCTCAGTTTGAGGATAAGAAGCTCCGTTGGAGTCAGGTACGAGATAGAAAATTAGGAATTTACAAATGTGGAGATTCTTAGAATAAAGGGTAGAGTCCTAAAGATCATATTTGAGACCAAGTGAACGGATATCAGTCAAGAAAGAAATCACAAATACAAGGGAAGTCAGGAGCAATAACAGAACTGCAAAAATAGAAACTCTTTTAGAAAGCTACTCCAGCAGCCCAGCTGTTACTATCATATCAGCTGCCTCTGCCACGGATTTGTTTATCTCCTACAGTATTTTAATATGTTTTTGTAGGTTATCAGAACAGAAGCTTTATGGAATAGTTTCAGTTTTGCACAGGTGTTTCCAGGACTCTTATGGAAAACTGTTAGATAACCATGGTCACATTTATATGTAACTCTACTAGCTCTCTCAGCAACTGCATATTAACTGAGAAGCTCACTCAACAGAGATTGCATGTACCTCAAATCTCACTGCCTCTGACTAAAACTCAAGACTCACTTCTTTGACCAACTTTTCCAAGCTTGTTAATATTTTCAATTTACAATAATCACTCCATTTAATATCCCCTTATTCATAAAATAAACTTAATATACATCGTTAAGGGCATAAAATTAATAGTCACCCCTCTATGTAAAGCGGTGCATCCCAAGAGATCAGCTGCATCTACAGATGCTTCTTTTTCAAGTAACAAGGAAACAGCATCAATGTGTCCATAAGCCACAGCAAGCATCAGTGGGGTTCTAAAAAATGAGAAGTAATCACAGCTTTAAGCACACATATCATTTCCACTGTTAACTTATCCTTTGGGAAAGTGGGGTGCCAAGAATTCCTGGCATTTTCTCCATACTTCCTTTCTCCATCTTTAGGACTTATATTCATCTATGTAACCCAGTTTTAAATACTTTTGTACAACTGTATTGTTAAGCAGTGCAACAAACAGCAAGCATTATTTACACACTTATTCAATCACCTCTCCTAGTTGTTAAGATAACTATTTATATAATTTTTTTCTTTAAAAAAAAATCCAGGACAGAATTGTTTAATATAGGGAAAAAGCCAAGTGTATTCAGTATCTCATTTGTACGAATCATCCCTTGGCTAGACCCTTGAGGAATATTTCTTCCACTTCTTTTCAAAATAAAGCAAAAGGAGAAAAAAATCCTAAAGTGATCATTCAAAGAGGGAAGAGGATGCCCTTTAAAAACACAGCACTCATCTGTCTGTTTTCTCCAACGTGAAATTTTAAAGCCATTTTCAACTTTTAGGATATACTTGCCTCCTCCCTCCATAACTACCATTTAATGAGTACTGTAAACCATCATCATCTACATCAACTCCAATTTAAGTGTCACATTCAATTAATACACTGTCCAAATTCTCCATTCCAAAAAACCAAGTATGTCCTAAAATATCAATGTTTTGGAACCAGTGGGAGTCTCCCTAGATTAGAAACAACTAAAAAACTGATCAGTTGTTAACTAAGTTTAACCTGAAACATCTCAGAAGAACTGTATAAAGCTCAGGGTAACGGCTAATATTAATAAATAATGTGCTCCCCTTCCTAATGTGTATTCTATGGCTTTGATTGACTGAATGTGTATTTTGTAATATTTGCCAAATTATATCAGAAAATTAGAGCGTTGCAAGAGATCCATGCAGTAATGTATTCAGCATTTCATACAAGAATCTATGCCATGAGCAATTTATGGAGCTGCCATTCGTAATACAGTACTGTATAAAAACAAAGACAACTTACTGTCCTTTGGCATCTGTCACATCAGGGTTGTCTGCAACTTCCAGCAACAGCCGCAAACATGGTGTGTGACCATTGATGACTAGAAAAAACAACACACATTGAAGCAATAGTATTGAAACAACAGTAAAGAATAAAATTGTCAGACACATAGAAGAACATAATTTGTTAGGCAAAAGTCAACATGGTTTCTGTAAGGGGAAATCATGTCTTACTAATCTATTAGAAATGTCATTCTTGATGGTTTTCTGTTTCTTGTATAATACTTATCAGGTGATTTCTTAATTTCTTGGATAGTGTGAGGCAGAGTCTTTCACTGTAGTCAGTGCAGTATGTTGATCTTATCCTTTGAAGGGGTCAACAAACATGTGGACAAGGGGGATTCCAGTAGATAGTGTATTTAGATTTCCAGAAAGCCTTTGACAAAGTCCCTCAGCGATGGCTCTTATGTAAATTAAGTTGTCATGGGATAAGAAGGAAGATCCTTTCATGGACTGAGAACTGGTTAAAAGACAGGAAGCAAAGGGTAGGAATAAAAGATAAATTTTCAGAATGGAGAGGGGTAACTAGTGGTGTTCCCCAAAGGTCAGTACTAGGATCAATCCTATTCAACTTATTCATAAATGATCTGGAGAAAGGGGTAAACAGTGAGGTAGCAAAGTTTGCAGACGATACTAAACTGTTCAAGATAGTTAAGACCAAAGCAGACTGTGAAGAACTTCAAAAAAATCTCACCAAACTAAGTGATTGGGCAACAAAAAGGCAAATGAAATTTAATGTGGATAAATGTAAAGTAATGTACATTGGAAAAAATAACCCCAACTATACATATAATATGATGGGGGCTAATTTAGCTACAACTAATCAGGAAAGAGATCTTGGAGTCATCATGGATATTTCTCTGAAGACGTCCATGCAGTGTGCAGCGGCAGTCAAAAAAGCAAACAGGATGTTAGGAATTATTAAAAAGGGATAGAGAATAAGATGGAGAATATCTTATTGCCCTTATATAAATCCATGGTACGCCGACATCTTGAATACTGCATACAGATGAGGTCTCCTCATCTCAAAAAAGATATACTGGCATTAGAAAAGGTTCAGAGAAGGGCAACTAAAATGATTAGGGGTTTGGAATGGGTCCCATATGAGGAGAGATTAAAGAGACTGGGACTTTTTAGCTTGGAAAAGAGGAGACTAAGGGGGGATATGATAGAAGTATATAAAATCATGAGTGGTTTGGAGAAAGTGAATAAGGAAAAGTTATTTATTTGTTTCCATAATATAAGAACTAGGGGCCACCAAATAAAACTAATGGGCAGCAGGTTTAAAACAAATGAAGTTGTTCTTCAAACAGCGCATAGTCAATCTGTGGAACTCCTTGCCTGAGGAGGTTGTGAAGGCTAGGACTATAACAGAGTTTAAAAGAGAACTAGATAAATTCATGGAGGTTAAGTCCATAAATGGCTATTAGCCAGGATGGGTAAGGAATGGTGTCCCTAGCTTCTGTTTGTCAGAGGGTGGAGATGAATGGCAGGAGAGAGATCGCTTGATCAGTACCTGTTCAGTTCACTCCCTCTGAGACACCTGGCATTGGCCACTGTTGGCAGACAGGGTACTGGGCTGGAAGGGACTTTGGTCTGACCCAGTATGGCCATTCTTACGTGCTTATATTTAGCAGTCTGTACACATAAACATACACTTATGAAACAAACACAAGAACTGCTTTTCAGATTCTGTTCCCACAAAACACCTATAATAGCAAGGAGGTTTATTTAAGTTAAGAAAAGACATTTTTCAATGAAAGAAATTAACATTCAGGCAATTTTTACTTGTACTAATGAAATGTTTTCTGAGTGCATCAAAAGGAAGACCGTGTGTGTTACATACAGAGACCACAAATGAGCAATGCAAAAAAGTGCCCGAGTATACCTGAGAAGACTCCTACCAAAGGAGATAACACATCAGAACCCTGAGAACAGAAAACTACAATACTTTTTTATTTTTAATGTATTGGAAGTTACATGAGCAAATCCTATTGTTGTTGCTTGAACCTCTGTATACTGCCTGTGAATGCAGAAGTGTAATAGGAAGGCCAAAGTGCAATTGGAATATCAGCTAGCAAGGGATATGAGGGTAACAAGAAACATTTCTACAGGCATGTTAGCAATAAGAGGGCAGTCAGGGAAGGTGCAGGAACCTTACTGGATGAGGGAGATAACTTAATTGACAGATTATGTGGAAAAAGCTGAAGCACTCAATGCTTTTTTTGCCTCCGTCTTCACAGATAAGGTCAGCTTCCAGACTGGTGCACTAGGCAATACAGTATGGGAAAGGTGTACAGCCCTCAGTGAAGAAAGAACAGGTTAAGAACTTTTTAGAAAAACTGAACATACATGGATCCATGGGTCCAAACCTAATGCATCCAAGGGTGCTGAGAGAATTGGCTGATGTAATTCCAGAGCCATTGGCCATTATCTTTGAAAACTTATGGTGATTGGAAGAAGGAAAATGTAGTGCCCATCTTTAAAACAAGGAAGGACAATCCAGGGGACTACAGACAGGTCAGCCTCACTTCAGTCCCTGGAAAAATCATGGAGGGGATTCTCCAGGAATCCATTCTGAAGCACTTGGAAGAGAGGAAAGTGATCAGGAATAGTCAACATGGATTCACCAAGGGCAAGTCATACCTGACCAAACTGATTACCTTCTATGATGAGATAACTGGCTCTGTGGACATGGGGAAGGCAGTGTATATGATATCCTTGACTTTAGCAAAGCTTTTAATACGGTCTCCCACAGTATTCTTGCCAGCAAGTTAAAGAAATAGGGATTGGATAAATGGACTCTAAGGTAGAGAGAAAGCAGGCTAGATCCTTGGGCTCAATGGGTAGTGTTCAATGACTCGATGTCAGGTTGGCGGTCAATATCAAGCGGAGTGCCCCAAAGATCGGTTCTGGGGCCAGTTTTGTTCAACATCTTTATTAATGACCTGGATGAGGGGATGGATTGCACCCTCAGTAAGTTTGCAGATGACACTAAGCTAGGGGGAGAGGTAGCTATGTTGGAGGGTAGAGATAGGGTCCAGAGTGACCTAGACAAATTGGAGAACTGGGCCAAAAGAAATTTGATGAGGTTCAACAAGGATAACTGCACTTGGGATGGAAGAATCCCAAGAACTGTTACAGACTGGGGACCGACTGGCTAAGCAGCAGTTCAGAAGAAAAGGACCTGGGGATTACAGTGAGCTGATTGTAAAGTGCCCCGATTGGCCTGAGGGTGGGGGGGAGTGCACAAAGTCTTCTTCCACCGCCGGGGGCACGGGCGCCTAGAGGGAACTGCCAGCTGTTCAGAACAGCTGGCAGTTCTCTCTAGGGGAAGGTAGGGGCAAACACTTCATGCCCTCCCCCATGCCAAACAGGGTCTGTGGGCGGGGGAGCACGGAAGTGTCCTGGCCCCACTCCTTCCACCCAAGGTACCGCCTCTTCCAGAGCAGCCCAGAGCCACTTCAAAAATTTGTGAACTGGTCCCCTTTCTAAAAAGACTGCCCACTCCTGGTCTAGGAAGTGCCACTGGTAGGTAAAATTACTGCAAGATACTTAATCGTACATCCAATTTCAACCATGCCATTTGTCTCATTTACTTCTTTGAGATTACTCACATGCTTAAAGGATATTCAGATGCTTAAGAACCTTGAAGACATGGACCTAAAGCTTTTACCTAGTCTACACTACCATGGACTGTTATGCAACTTCAGCTACATGACTAATGTAGCTAAAGTCGATATATGAAGATCTACTATCTATAGTGTCTTCAGTGCAGCACACCAACAATGGACACTCTCCCATCGACTTCCATTACTCTTCTTGTTCTACACTGCTCCTTCTTGTGCAAAATGATGGCTCATTCAGTATGCAAATGAGGCAATTGTCACCCCTCATTTGCATATGTTCTTGCACAAGACTGGGGAGTGTAGATGTAGCCTTGGAATACCAGAGCCCTCGATTTATCACGTCTGTACTAGACGCGTTAAGTTGACCTCCACCGTATCAATTGCTGCCTGTCAATCCAGTGGTTAGTAAAGACATGCTCTGGTCTGATAGATTCCATCCAGTCAAATGGAGTGGGCGCAGTGGATATTTGGTGTGTGCCAATAAAGTATAGCTGACAGGAACAATAATATATTTAGGCCAAACACTCAACTATAGGCTAACTGCCTGATACTAACTGCCTGTATGACAACATGGGACATCTCCAGTCCATCAAGAGCCTTCAACATAATGTGGGACTCTCGTACAATAGATACACACTAAAAATTAGGAGCAGTAAGAAAATGTACTGTAATTTTCAGCAGCTTTACAGGAAATGGTCTTTTTGACAGAACTCTAAACATATGGAAATAAAGCAGGCGGCACAATTTGAAGGTGAGGCGAAGGGAAAGGAAACCAAATAACCTCAATATTTATGGCAAACATAAACAGAGCATGGTCTCACACAATACAGATCTTATGAACATACATCAGGTTTAATTGCCTCATATACGATTACTATTGCACCACATATACTATTAATCCTGTACAGAACATGTGATGTATCAAAAGAAAATTATACTTTTATTTCTGCGCTACATTTTTTTGTCAACATTCAACAGACAACCAGGTAAAGACTATTTTTTAACTAAAGATTCACTAATTTCTGATAATCAGTTTGTGCAGCTGCCATACAGTTTCTCCTTTGCTGCACTGTAGCAACATTAATATATACATCTTTCAGCCACAATTTAAGAAGGTCCAAAACATGTTGGGTAACATATACCAAGGCCAAGCAAGTCTAAAATTAAGGTTTTCTTCAGATACAGTTAAAATATACTGCAGACAAAGATGAGGGACAAAATAGGCATGGTATATTTTATCTTGTGTTGCCTATTTACATATATTACACATTAAAAATGGTCAGATTTTAGCGACATGTACACATTTTATTCTAAGCAGAAAAAACAGCTGTAAAGGAAGACAAAGTAAGTCTGCCCCTGAAAATGAATACATAGCAAACAATGAACTGATTCTATTTGCCACTAGAGGTTGCTATTAGACCACATGGAGTCCATCAGCATGGGGCATGACCACAAGTAGGTTTATTCTGTTTTATCAACTATACAAAGATCAGAGAAAAAACTCTCCATATACGAAAATCCTTAGCATGTTATAGAACAGCCTGTAAGATGCAAGACACCAATTCCACCCTTTGTAATCAGAGTACTTGACTTACTAAAGAACAGTTAACAAGCAAAGAAGAGAGAGTCTATTAACACTTATGGAAGTGGTTAGTTTTCAAGAAGTTTACTGGCTAGTTCACTAGGGGTACATCTACACAACAGCTAAAATTAGAATAAGCTACGCAACTTCAGCTACGTCAACTGCGTAGGTGAAGTCAAAATAGCTAAACTCGGCTTTTGGTGCTGTGTACACAGCAGGAAGTCAAAGGAAGAACACCCTTTGACTTCCCTTACTCCTCGTGAAAGGAGGGTTACTATGAGTCAGAGTAAGAAGTCCTCCAGCTCGACATTATTTTGAAATAAAGGCTTGTAGTGGAGACACACACTATGTTATTTCAGAATAACATCAGTTATTCTGAAATAATGCTGCTGTGTAGACATAGCCTAAGACTAGTGAACAACACTTAGAAACTGGTGATTTTCTTTGGAGTTTTAGAGGAAATAAAGGAAAGGGGAGTGTACTGCTGTAGAATGTTACTAAAGGTTTCTGGCTGTGAAAGGTCAGGATAGGACTAATCTGGAGTGAATCAAACTACCTCACTTCTTCATCAGTGGGAATCCACCTTGATTTTAAGTGTTTTTTTCTAGAAAGATCTGCCTCATTGCTACTTAGTTCTTCACCAGACTCTCTAGCCTGAAACCATCAACTATGAAGTGTGGAGGCAGAGGAAACTGTCATGCACCAGAGAAGGGAGATAGGTGTGGAAAAAGGAAATAGGCCTGTTGAATGGGGTATAGGAATCTGGCTAGGGGGTCGGGGAGAGACTGGAGCACTTTGTGAGGAAAGGGGAAATGTTGAGGAATAGAAAGATAGATTTAGCTCTAGTTCCTTGTGGCAGTTCACTAACAATGAAGTCTCAATGCTTTAATTAGAGTTAATTAGTTTGGCAGTAACCTTCAAAAGACAGTGTGTAGCTAAGCAAACATCACTGCTAACCTCTATCATGTTGTAGATTTTCTCTCTCAAGATAAAATACAGCTACACTCACCTGAGGCATGAAGAGGGGTTCTTTTGGTGACATCATCTTTTACCAAGATGGAAGCACCCTGATTGAGGAGAGCTTCAACACATTCTGCATGTCCTTTAAAGGCAGCCAGGTCCAAGGCAGTGCGTCCTTTCTCATCCTTAATATCCAGGTCTACCGGAGACTGAAGAAGTACCTCCAAGGCTTGATGATGACCATTATAGGCCTAGAAATCCAAAACAGGCTATGTTTGGAAATCCAAAACAGGCTAAGTTTGGAATAAAGCAATACAGATTTGATTTACTTTTCTCCTGACTGAAAAGCACAGCACAACTGTCGCCCAGGAATATGAATTTTCATTGCTATTGTCATTTGAATGCAATGGAAATTATAGTGCAGAGATAATTAATTCTGATGTTACAAGGTTCTGTATCCTGAAACTCCAAATACACATGGTTTTCCCACATTCCATTGTAATTGGCATAGGTGGTCAGAAGATTCCAGGCACCTGAAAATGTGTGGTTTTTAATGACAGAAGAGGCCATAATGAACAGCTAGTCTCTGATCTCCTACATGCCACATTCCAAAACACCTCACCCAATCATTTCTGCATCAAGCCTTATCAAAGGCCTACAGGAAGCCCATTGTTATGACACATGCAGGTTATACACTTGAGAGAAGACACACAATGGTGTAGTCAGGCACAGCAACATTATTCAGAAGCAGCAAAGCCACAAATGAATTCGGCACTCCATCCCAAATAAGTGCTAACAAAACCTTATACCCATACCATATTTATATGTTCCTTATATGGAGTGTCTTTTAAATAAATATAAACTTGTAGGTATTTAAAGTCAAATTTACTGGCACAGACTTCCACAGTCATGCCAAATTACCTTAGTACCATGAGCTTACTTATTGAGATCTCTATGGGTATGTCTAGACTACAGGGTTTTGTTGACAAAAGTGGACTTTTGTTGACAAAACTATACCTGCGTCTACACTACCACCAAGTTCAGTCTACATAATGTCGACAGAACTCGGCAGTTTTGTCGACAGCGGTAAACCTTATTCTACGAGGAATAACGCCTTTTGTGGACAGAGTTCTGTCGACAGAAGGCGTTATTGCATCTACACTGTCCTTTGTGTCTACACTCGCATGTCGACAAAACGGCTTGCTTTGTCAATAGAACTGGATGTAGTCTAGACACGCTTTGTCGACAGTATCTGTCGACAAAAGCCTGTAGTCGAGACGTACCCTATGGAAGAAAAAAATTATAAGTAATAAAATGTACAGAAAAGCCATTTCAAGTACCTATTAATGCTGTAACTTTAAGGTTTGACATTGTGGGAACTTCTGGCACTAAAAGCCAGAGAACACTTAATTGCAGAAACCTGCTTGATGAACTTCACATTTACAAAGGTGTTTAGCTCTCATTTCTAACCCTGACAGAATGAAAGCTATTAGATGTATAACCTCTTTGGTCCAGCACTCTGCATTCCCTGGCCTGGACCTCAGGCCAGTCTGATACAGGGGAGCGGTAGAGAAGAAAGCAAAGAAAACTTCTGGGACCAGGTTGATTTGAAAACAAAGTAATGGCTTGCCAAATATTCTGGATTAGACATCCCTGGAATGCTTTGACACATACAACTTTGGAAGTCCACAAAAATGAGCCCCTCCTTTTGTCAACCTCCTCTCCAGCCCCCTCCTCTTTTTAATCTAAAGAAATACAAAAAACAGAATCAAAGAGAACCTTGAACGTTTCACTGGTAAGCAGCCACAAGTCAGGAATTGCCAAAGTTAAATTTGTATGGGGTAGGAGGAGGATGGAAAGGAATCTGAGAGGGGGAGAAAAAGAGTAAAATGTTGATACAAATCTGACTTTTTGCATGATATGACATTCCCATGACAAATTGCTGTCTTGCATGAGATTTTACTGAATGCATCAATTTACCAGAAAGAAGGGGTCCCCTAAATTAGTGAAATTTAATTAGAAAAAAAGTATTTTCCCCGTTAGGCTTCTGAGCCTACCAAGAATTATGCACATGCTTACTCTAGCTCTATGAGTAGTCCCATTAAAAGAACTACTAATGGTTTTTACATTTAAGATGTGCTTAAATCTTTGCAGGATCAGAGCTTTGTTCATTTTATTTTAGTCAAATAGTTCAATTTTAAGATTCTGCAGTAGCTTTCAGAAAAATAGTTGCTTCAAAAACAAGATGCAGTGCTCAGCAGAAGTCAGGTATGTGCACATGCAGGCACGCTACATAGAACCAGAGATTGCACAGACAACAGGGTAGTCCCCTTGCTTATTGAATTATAAGAACATTTACATTAAACCCCACAGTGAGAGTTTCATGGAAAACAAATAAACCATTAAACACGTATTATGAGAGAAAGAGAAAATTTGAAATAAAGGGTGTGATACATTTCCTCCCTTTTTTAGTTAGTGACCTGTTGTTCTCAGACAGATTTTGCTTTTCATTAATTTGTTGAATAATTTCTTCTAACAATGCTCAGGCTATTATTTATTTGGGAGCAGTTTGCTATAAAGTCAAAATTTGTGCTATTGTGATTGGACTGGTCTTGGATTGAATGAGATCAATTCTTAGAACAGGTTTATGGTGCAAATCCTCACAGTTATAGGCTTGAATGTTTATTTACATTTGGTGTGTCAGAGAATGTGTGCACTAGTAAACCTAAACCAAAAAAGAGGGATGAAACAAACGGAATCCCATTGATTTAAAAACTGCAGTTAATATCCGTGAAAATTATTTGCACAGTTCACATAGCTTTAACAGGCATGCGCTGCGCTGCTTATCATCAGACTCAAAATCAAATGGTGAGAAGAAGGGTTGTTTTTGCATAAACCCCTGTAGAGTTGAAATACTTCATGAAAAAGGCATTACTATACACAAAGACAAATGTAAAAAGCTCCAATAGCCATTGAAATTCAAAATCCAGTTTTAGATTTCATCTTTAAAAATTCTAATTTTCAATAAAAATATTTTTATTGTGTGTTAAATTTTGTATTTTTGCTTACAAAATTTAACACACAATACAAACATATATAAAAATGAAATCAACTAAGTATTAAAGAAACTAATTTTTCCCCTGATGGGCAACTAACTCCTATTAACATTAACAAGAAGCATGTATATGTATCCAAGGGAAGATTAACCCTGCGGACTCTGAATTTCTGGCTTTTAGGTATGAACTAGACTATTAACCTTGAGATTCAATTGTCCTCGATATTTACACCATATGGTGGGCTTGATTCACATTGGTTTTACTTTGCTGTAATATGAGGACAGGGACTCCTATATTTTAAGTGTAATTAATATGATTATACACCTGCAGTAATATAAAATCTTCCCGAATCTTATGTTAGATACAAAAATGAATAATCAAGATTTTCCAAAAAATGAGCTCCCGAAGTAAGTCTTTTAAATCCTTCTTTAGGGACCATAAATGACTGGATTTTGAGATGTGCAGAGCAGCTAGCAAACCCTGAGTGCTCAGCACTTTTTAAAACCATGCCAAGTCAGGTATGTCTACGCATGGAGCTGGGTGTGTGATTTCCAGCCCAAGGTGACATACCCACGCTAGCTATGATCAAGCTAATGCACTAGAAACAGAAAATAGCCATGGTGGTGCAAGCAACTAACCACTTGTAGTGCATGCCCATGAAAGATGCTAGACATGTAACTTGGGTGACTGGTATACTAGGTCCATGAGAGCTAGTACACACATCTCCTGCAGCTGGGCCTTACACCCTTGGTTTGAAGTGCAGACATACCCTTAAGTGGGAACCGTCACAAAAATTCAGGGCTAAGATTTTCAAAGGAAATTCAATACAAGCTGTGCACCTAGATCCTTTAAGTTTTTCTTTTTAGTTGCAATCAAGAAACCATTTTTTTAAAATCTTGGCCTTAAGTCCCTTTCCAAATGGTTATATATCTGATCAAACATTGGATATGTATCATATACTTACAGCTAAATGCAAAGGACTTTTAGTAGCTACTGAATCTGGTTCATCAAAAATGTTGCTGGTTTTTTCCAGAAGCTAAAAAGAAGAAGAAGAGATTTAAAACAACTTGCAAAGCATAAATACTTCCATAAGGACTCAGATCAAATTGAATAAAAATCACAAGTTACTTGTTAAAAGCAGATTTAAGGTTACTTTGGAGATAAATGTTCGCCAGATTTACTGTATACCATCTAAAGGACCAGGAAGATTTTAAGAGTAATCTTCAAGAGTACCCTATTTCTAAGAATAAAGGTAAACCCTAAGAATCCTACTTCTATACAAGCATCTTTCAGCACCCAAAGTATGGTGTACTCGTCTGTATGTAAAACAGATGTTCTACTTAGTCAACTGTCTCTGTAAAATAGATGTTAGTCTTAAAAGTCAGTCTGGTTCCCACTGAAGTCAAAATTGCCATTGATTTAATGGCAGCAGGATCCCCCCTTTAATTTGTTCTCTTTTGAATTACTATTAACTTGAAGAAATGTGGTCTTTTTTAAAAAACAAAGACAAAAAACCTTATTCTTACAGGCTTCATATGTAGCCATACTAAACTCAATGATAAAATTAGAAAGCAAACATCTATATGTAGATTTTTGCAGTATTATGACTTGTGAGGCTTCCTGGAAATGATCTTTCGTACTAACAAAATTCCTGTCCTAGTCTGACTTTTACTCAGAGTGAATCAGGATAACCTCACTTTAAGTGTCATAAAATAGCAGGCAGATGAAAATATTTCATTTGTAGATTTCCTGTAAATACCAAATGAAGGTTTTTAGTGCATGTCGAAGAGCTGTGTGTTGTGATTTCCACCACAAAATATGTTGCTATTATTAGACACAATAAAGTCAAAATTCACTTAAGCCCCAGAACATTCTCATGCGTGTTACGAGTCCCAATGAAATCAGAGGAACAACTTGCATGAGGAAAGGATAAATCATAAAGGAACAAGTGTTTATAGAACGGAGCTCTTAGCCAAATTATGAATAACAAAATGGTAAGAAGAATGTGATGTGTACCTTTAGAATGACCACTCAGCACATCTCACAACAAATCACACTTACAGACAGATCCCTAAACACTTTACAAGCTTGTCAAGTAGGATAACTGTATTCACCATCTGAATGGAACAGGGCAGCCATTTAACAGTTATAACAACATTACACTGCTATGTTTATTCCTATAGCTGATAATTCACCATTCCTGCATGTTAACACAAAAATATACTCCTTGCAGATAGGGGCCTCAGCAAATTGAATCTAGAATCAAATTTAAACTCAAAGCTTTCAGAATATTAGGTGGTGCGGGTTGGGAGCTGGGTTTAGTGTTCCAGTTTGGGCTCATCTCTAATTCCTACGCTGTTTTCCTCTGTTTTTAGAAAGTTATTTCACCATTTATGAAAAATCCTAATTTAATAATATGCATTTGATGGCAACTGGGATTATTTTTAAGGTGCCTGTTTGATATATCTATTTTCTTAGGAGACATTTCCCAATAAGCAGCCAATATATACATTAGTATGAAGCACCATTTTAATCTAAATATTTGGCCAGTAGTCCTCAGTTCCATGAGGCATGCTCTTGTACACACGAATAAATATGAATTCCCATTTTCTCCAGTGAGTAATTAAATCTCTAAAAATAAAAAAGTAACCACTAAACTGGTTTCCTTGTCTGCTTATCACTTACCCCTTTTAAATTACATTTCTCTCATTTATTGAACATCAAACTACTACATTTTGGGATCAGAACCTTAGCGTGGAAAATCTATTAGACTGCTCTAGAAGTCTTTGAGCAAGCCAAATAATTGCCTTTAGAAGAGAGTAAAAATAATTTGCTAGTTGCCAGAATTAAGGCTCTTGATAAAGAAACTTCTCTCACAAAAAGAATCTTAAAGGTCTTAGAATTAAAGAATCTTAGATGCTGCAGACTAATCTTAATGAGCTTACTACTCAAAATGTTCAATTTTTCCATCATGAAGTCAAGCAAACACAGAAATGTGATGGTAAAGCTAGTAACTCTGGATATGGCTACAATGCACGCTTATTTCAGAATAAGCTATTCTGGAAGAAAAACTCCAAAACAACATATTCTGAAATAGCACATCTACACAGCAAATGCCAATTGAAATAGTGCTGAGCTATTTCGAAATAGAGTGTCCACACTCACTGGATGCTGAATCGCATTTAAGGCCACCTGGAAGCATTTTGGGCATCCTGGAGCTGCTGCCTGAGACTCGAGCTTAAAGAGCCCCCCCCCCCCGTACAGCCTGTAGTCTGGGCAAGGGGTATAATAGAATTTTTGTGGGTAAGGCTTGCCAATCTGACTAGAAGGTTCTACGTTTCGTGGGGAAGGATGGGGGTGGGGGTGGGTGGAAGCCCCCTCCCCGGGAGATTTGTCAGTCCCACCTTCACAAAGACCTGCCACGGGATGGTAACTAGGGGGTGCTCCTCCTGTGAGGGGGTAAGAGGGTGGGCTCGTAGCCCTCCGAAGGGCCCTGTCACCCATGCGATTCTGTTTGTCTCCTTCTACAGGTGGTGCCGGTCAGCAACACCATCCTGCTGTGCAGGATCATCAATCTGGGCAACTTGGATGCCGTCGTCACTGGCTTTGCCAAAATGGGCTTCCCCAACTGTGGGGGTGGCTATTGACGGCACCCACATCCCCATCCGGGCCCCCGAACATCGGGCAGCTGCGTACATCAACAGCAAGGGGTACTTTCTGATGGTCCTGAAGGCTGCCACGGACCATCATAGCCAGTTCACAGACATCTACATCAGGTGGTCAGAGAAGGGGGCATGACACCCCAGTCTTCCGCAACTCCAGCCTCTTCCAGAAGCTGCACTCTGGCACCTTTTTCCCTAACTGCACCATCAGGAACATGGACATGCCGATCTGTATTGTGGGAGACACAGCATACCCTGTGCTCCCCTGGCTCATGAAGCCCTACACTGGACACCTGGACCAGAGCAAGGGACACTTCAATGCCAGGCTCAGCAGGACCCGCAGTGTGGTAGAGGGCGCCTTCGGGCATCTGAAAGGGAGGTTCCACTGCCTTCTCAGCTGCCGAGAAGGCTGAGTCAGCCCCTCACCGCCTGCTACCTCCACCCACATGTGTGTGTGTAAGGAAAGAAATGGCACTCACCCGTTGGGCCTTCCCCAGATTTTGATGATGCCTGGGATACATCCAAGGTAGGAGGTACCGGGTTCAGGGTGAGCTTGATGTCCTGGTTTGCGGGCACAGATATGGTGCTGGCCTCATTCGGCTCCTTCTCCTCCTCTTCCTCATTGTTTCTGCCCCCAGGAGGGTGACAATGGGAATCTCCAGCCCCAACTCCATTACATGGGGGAGTACTGACCTGCCCCCCAGGATGCAGTGGAGCCGGGAGTAATCGGGGCAGGTCTGGAGTGCCGCCGCGGAGAGGGAGCTGCGCTCCTTGATCCTGGCATAGGCCTGCCTCAGCTCCTTCACTTTCATCCTGATCTGTTCCTGGGTATGCATGTGGCCCTTGGTGGCTAGGCTATTAGCCATCCAGCTATAGACGTCCGCATTCCTACGTCTGGCACGGAGATCCTGGAGGTTTTCCTCTTTGCCCCAGGCCTCAATGAGATCCAGGATCTCCGCATCAAACCAGGAAGGTGCGCGCCTCTTTTGGCCCTGGGCAGGGTCCTGCCTGAGGCAATGCTGGCAGGTGTGCAGGGCTCAGCTGGAGTGGTGGGCTCAGCCATGGCAGCAGGGAAGCCTGCGCAGGGTTCTGCTGTGTGGCACAATGCAAGTGGGGCCTGCTTCATGACACAAGCCCTTTTCCCTCTGCCTGCAGGGCTGCAGGGGAAGGGAAGTGATAGAGCTCTGAAGAGTGTGGACAGAACGGCCTGCAGGGCACCTCTGGGAAGGTCTGGAAGCCCTTTATTTTGAAATAACCCCAGCTGCCCTGTCTGCACACACATTATTCTGAAATAGCTATTTCAGAATAGTTGTTATTCCTCAAAGAATGAGGGTTACAGAATCTGGAATAAGCTGCCCGTTATTTTGAAATTTTTTGGAAATAAGGGGCTTGCTGTGTAGACACTCGGCAAGTTATTTCGGAATAACATCTGTTATTCCAAAATAATGCTGCTGTGTAGACATGCCCTCTGTGGGCTCTCAGTTAGTCAAAAAAAAACCCAAGACAAGACATTTATAAGATGAAAAAGTTCAAAGTGATACAAATAATGATTTCTAAGTACATATAGCTATTTATAATTCTTCATACTAATTAAAGCTACATTTTCACAGGAGATCTATAGAATTAAACATGACACCTACAAAACATACAAAAAATGGCCAGGTCTATGTTATTGTGCAAAATGCCTCTGCAGTTAAGGTTTTGTCAGTATTTTGAGAACTCTACACTTTGTTCATAATAAATTATAATTGTTCATGTAGACAACAGAGGGAAGGGGTTGTCGTGACAGCTTTAAAACAGTCCACCTCATTTTGGGATTCAATTAATGAAGGAAACTGTGTTTTGAACACTTTGTTAAACATGAATAAATTTAGTTATGGTGCAAGATTACTCATTAAAGCAATATTCAACAGCTGTTATTTTATGTCTAGTCCTATCCCACCTCCATTAAAAGTTGTCTATGCCACATTTGTCATAACAGGTAAATGTAAAGTAATGGGTCTATATGGAGTGCACTTATAGTTCTCACCCAATAAAACATTCATCTCACATATGCAAATTTAATGTTCATGAAAAACAACAGAATGAGATTCCTAGAGACCAAAATGCTCTTAAAATGAACAGAACCAGCAAAGTTTTGTTTTTGTAATGCAGAAACAAACCAGAGAACAATTCATTTAACAAAAAAACCCAAAAAAACCACACCAGTAAGCATCAGCCATTAAAAACTTTTGGTCACTATTGAACTGGACTGGATAAAACCAAATTCCTGCAAGCAAAAGGCTCCTCATATCCTTTTTCTAAAAGTGACACTTTAAAAAAGATTAGAACTAGGACACCCACACTTTCTGCTCCCCCCCCCCCTTGATCTAAGCACATTTTAAAATGTCCAATGTATGTATGAAGAGTTGGAGAAAAAGGCTTAATTTTTCTTCACACCTAGGCCAACCTCTGTGGATGCTCCCATTTCCCTGTAGAGGTTTTAGAAGCATGCTAGTTTCACAAAGTTGGTCTAATATAAGCAACCTCTTTGGCAAAGACTTAGTACTATTGCTACTAGTTAATTACCCTGTGAAGCTGGCATTTTAAACTGTTATCTTGTTTCTCTCAACTTTCTGCAGGTTGATACAGTAGGGGTGTTTATTGACATGAAGAGGATTTGCTGCCTATTTTAATCCTCCGGCTATAATAATGGATTATTATCAATTATTGTTTACGTTTTTCTGGTTCTGATGTGTCACTCAAAGGTACAGGATGGTTTACAGCCTGCTTCTTACAGATTTCTAAGAATTAGCTCTGGTAAAAATAAGGAAAAACTCTATGTGGCATTTCTGAAATGTCTAATCACCATATGGTAGATGAACAGGTTAGTCACTCAAAGTGTTTTAATAAGGCTGCTGAAAGGGAGTTAGAAGGAATTTCAGCCCACATACAACACAGCTCATATGTAAAACAGAAATACATGTTTTAACACAAGATGTGACAAGTCTGAGAGTTCTGATGCACCATATTAGAGTGGTTTTCAAACTATAGGTCGTGACCCAGTACTGGGTCTATTAAGTGGGGGTGCAAAGGCTGTCTAGGTACCACAGACCGTGCTGCGCCTCAGAAGAGGCCAGCAGCAGGTCAGGCTCCTAGGTGAGGGAAGGGCACAGAAGAGCGCACAGGGGTCCATGCACTGCTCCTGCCCTGAGCACCTAGCTCTGCAGTCCCATTGGCTGGGATCTGCTACTGGCCATTCACAGAGCTAATCAGTGGCAACGATGACAAAGGAAATATTAGAATAGTGCACTTTTGCATTAAAACAATTATGTAGGGATATAACTTCTAATACATGAGGTCATCCAGAACAGGCAACCAGATACGATTTCAGAATGCCACTTGCAAAACAGAGCACAAATATTGGACATTTGGCTTGAGACTAATCTCACCTTCTCCACTGCATTATGAAGACACACACATGCACTGTCTACATTGCAGAGAAAACACATCAGGCAAAACTGTAACAGCTCTTGTGGCACTAACACAGTTTCCTGGCTAGCAGAGTCAGGACAAAATACATTTCAACATGGCTTAGAACTCGGTAGTACAAAGACTAATAGACTATTACACTCTGTGATTCTATATCAAAGGGAGGACATGTTTTAGCTTCAGAGTTCATTCTCAATTAAAGAGCTAAATTCAAAAGGAGATGTATAAAGTGATACAAACTACATATTAATAAATACAAGCAAGGGAATCTACACTAGAAAAGCTTGACTGGGTTAAACCTGTACAACTGGCATCAATCTTGATCCAGGAAACAAGCGCTTGTTTTAGTACTTTAATGAAATCAGGATCCTAAACCATATTCATCCTTTATAAGTCAATTTAGCTCGTGTCAGTAATTTACTGAATTAATGTAATTCAAGTTAATGGTTAAATAAATTTAGGTGCCTTTACATACGATTCAGATTTACACCAGTTCAGTTACTGATTTCAGTTTTGATTCACAGATTAAATTAGTGCAACTTTTCTAGTGTAGACAAGACTTAGAAAGACCAAGAGGCTTGAAGATGGTGTAAACTGAAATAGGACTGAAGCTACTTTAAATGTGTACTTTTTGTACATGCTCCTGGTAAGGTGATTTTCCTGCTACGATCTTTTCATTTGTCCTCTGTGGATATTACTTAGGGCTTCTCTAAATTTTCAAATGCTACAGCCGCAATACCACTGTAACACTTCAGTGAAGAATCTACTTATGCTGATAGAAGAGATTCTCCCATGAGTGAAAGTAAGCCACTTCCCTGGGAGGTAGTAGCTAGGTTGACCAGCAAATTCACCCATTGACCTAGCGCTGTCTAGACTAGGATGTTACATTTAGATTAATTAACTAACTGAAATAGTTAATGGAATTTCAATCAACAACTTCTGGGCTCTTGCTACAGTTCAAAGGCAGAAGCCTGGTAGGGAGCAGGGGGCCTGCAGAGACTCCCAGCCAGCTCCATGCTCCCTGCAGTGCCTCAGCCTTTGAAATGTACAAGAGCCCCAGTGGGCATTTCAAAAGCAGAATCGCAGCAGAAGCAGCATGAGCAGAGACTTTCTCCAGTTCCCGCATGTACCATTTCCCACTGTTTCTCTATTTCCCCTGTCCCCCAGCGGAGACTGTGCTGGGTGGAACCAGCTCCTGCTCTGACAGAGATAGCGGGAGGTGGGGGGAAGTGACTAGTTGCATCACTAGTCAACTATCCAATAAGCTTATCCTTATCAGATAGTCGACTGGTCCACTGGACGCTTACGCCGCTGGTCTACACCAGGTGTTAGGTCAATTAAACTGCATCTCTTGGGCATAGATTCTTCACACCAAGGGTGTGTCTAGACTACAGAGTTTTGTCGACAAAAGTGGACTTTTGTCGACAAAACTATACCTGCGTCTACACTACCGCTGAGTTCTGTCGACATAACGTCGACAGAACTCAGCAGTTTTGTCGACACTGGTAAACCTCATTTTACGAGGCATAACGCCTTCTGTCGACAGAGTTCTGTCGACAGAAAGTGTTATTGCATGTAAACCGTCCTTGCGTCTACATTGCCATGTCGACAAAGCAGCTTGCTTTGTCGACAGAACTGAATGTAGTGTAGACGCTCTTTGTCGACAGAAGCTTTGTCGACAGTATCTGTCGACAAAACTTCTGTCGACAAAACTCTGTAGTCTAGACGTACCCCAAGTGACGTAGTTACACCTACCTAATTCCCTAGTATGGACTAGGCCTTAGAATCCCACCGATTCAGACTCTGAATTGGGCCTATAATTTTTGTTTTTAAAAAGAAACTAGAAACTGTAGGTTTTGATTCACATTACCAAAAGCAGCATTTATTTAAGATACGGAAAGTGACTACCAATCAGATACATGCGACTGATCCACTGGGCCTAGAAAGTGATTGCAGAAAAGCAAAATATTTTCCACTGAAAGCTTGAAATCTAATCTTAAAGAAGCAGCAGTTCAAAGGCTTGAATTAAATAAAAGTAACACATGCATTTATTTGAAGTACGTAGCATGCTGGTTAAGAAATTGTGATTGTTCTGTTGAGTTCACAACAAAGTGACCACAAGAAATGGTGTAGTAGTAAGGATTCTAAATGAAAATCAAAATAAACAACATGCAATCTTTTTTCATTTACTTACTATATCCAATGGAGTTTTGCTTCGAATCTAATTAAAAAGGGCAATTAGTATAATTAAAACACAGAATATGAAAATGTGTCTCTTTTTTAGTTCTTTGATTTACAATAAACTGGATTACCAATATTTATTGAATATTTTTCATAAACTAAGTCTCTGTTCTAAAGGTCTTGACCCTACAGAATGCAGCACAACTAAAGCAAATGGGGCAACTCGCTACTGAAAGACTGGGTCCCTGACTATGTGGAGTCATTTTCTTTACTGGAAAACAGACAGCAAAGTGTGTGTGTGTGGCGG